CCCAAGACATACATAAATAAAGTCTAAAAGGTTTCAAAGAATGTACATTAAACAGACCAAATTCTCTATCCACAATCCAACTAAACTGATACCAAACAAAAAATCTTAAATTTAGAACTTCCAAATAATTCACAGATCAAGAATAAATCAATGCAAATTAGAAAATGCTTAGATATGCACAAAAACAAAAATGTCATATAACAAAATACCTGGGATATATTACTAATATAGCTCTAAATCTCTATTATAGAAATGAGAAGTCTCAAAAGCAAGGAACTGTTTAACTTTGACAGTTAAAAAAAGAAAGATTACGATAAAGAAATGTAAGTAGAATAAAACAATAAAGTGGATGAATACATGAAATTTTTAAAAAGATAAATTATAGATTAATGAAGTGTAAATGTCTGAAAACACACACACACAAACCAGATAACCTCTTGGAAAGACTTTTTCAGGGATGAAAAGGTCACAATGACCTATACTACCAACTTTGTTACTTATTCACTGGAGAGGCAGAAAGATGCAAAACAGATCAAGAGAGACAGAGAGCTCCTACCCACTGGTTCATTCCCCAAATGTCCACAGCAGCCAGGACTGGGCCAGATCCAAGTTGGGAAATGGGAATTCAGTTTGAGTCTACTACATGGGTGGCAGGAACCCAATTACCCAATTACTCGAGTCACCACCTGCTGCCTCCTTGGAGTACAGCATTAGCAGGAAGCTGGAACTGGAAACAGAGCCAGGACTTGAACTCAGGCACTCCAATACAGAGTATGGGCATCTTAATGGGTGTCCTAACTGCTAGACAAAACACACTCATCCCCTCCCAACTTCAGATGAAAGAAAATGATGGACAATTTCATCCAATAAATTTGAATACTTACATCAAAACTAATACTAATGGAAAAATTTTGAAAACTAATTATATTATACATAAAACTTGAATCAAAAGTCAACATCTCTTTGTTATTTATTAATAGAAATTGACAAGTTGGCCCTACACTTTATTTAGACAGCCAAAAGGCAAAAGGGAAATTCTGAAGAACATAAACAAAGTGTAGGAATTTTCCTTAACAGATATTGTTTTAAAGCATTTTTATTAGACAATGTAGCTGGCGCCGCGGCTCACTAGGCTAATCCTCCGCCTGCAGCGTTGGCACACCGGGTTCTAGCCCCGACTGGGGCGGCAGATTCTGTCCCGGTTGCTCCTCTTCCAGTCCAGCTCTCTGTTGTGGCCCAGGTCCTTGGGCCCTGCACCCACATGGGAGACCAGGAGGAGGCACCTGGCTCCTGGCTTTGGATCGGGATCGGATTGGGGGTGAACCAACGGAAGGAAGACCTTTCTCTCTGTCTCTCTGTCTCTCTCTCACTTTCTAACTCTGCCTGTCAAAAAAAAATAAATAAATAAAAAAAGACAATGTGGTTCTGATATAAGGAAATAGAGATCAATAGAACAGAATAAAGCTCAAAAGCAGACCTATAGAGACTAAAAATTAAGATACTAGGGGGTAACATTCAGAACAACAGGTAAAGAGAGATAATTTATTCAAGAAATACGTTTGACATTTTGTTTTTTACCTAAGGCACAAATTAAATTCTTATACCAAATAATTTTCAAAAATCCATTCCAATTGGACCTAAATACAGAAGGGAAATGTTTAGAAAAGGCTTTTGATCTCAGAACAAAGAAGTCTCAAAATATCAAAAATATAAATTAAAAAATATATATATATAAAAGACAACTTCTCCCAAATGAGAAAGACTCAACCAGGCATGTCTCAAAAGAAAAACTACAAGTGGTCACTATAAATATGAAAAGAATCTCTAGAGTAATCAAGGAAAATAATATACTAAAGTATATGCATATAATATTTCCCACCCACCAAGATGGCAAAAAAATTTGGTAATTTTTCAATTCCAGGTGTGGAGCAATGGGAACTCTCACATACAGCTGTTAGAAATATGAATTAGTATAAGCACTTTGGAAGCTTAAATAGCCCTATCCAGTAAATTCCTTGGTAATTTTTCTAACTGAGCACCAGCATATATGAATCAGCAGTCATGTATAATAAGGTTCACAGTGAAGACGCTGAGGTGTAGCAGGTTATGTCACACTTGGGATGCCTGCATCCCATGTCAGAGTGCCTGGGATCAAGTCTTAACTCCAGCTTCCAATTCAGCTTACTACTAATGTACCTGGGAGGCAGCAGCTGATGGCCCAAGTACTTGGGTCCCTGCTATGTGGGAGACCTGGATGGAGGCCTAAGCTCCCGGCTCCAGTCTGGCCCACCCCTGGCTAGTGTTGACATTTGGGGAGTCAACCAGCAGAGGGAGGATCTCTCTCTCTCCCTCTCTACTGCACTTTCAAATAAACAAATCTTAAAAAAAAAAAAAAAAAAAGAGAGCGAGAGAGAGAGATGAAAAGAAAAGCCACAGATTAGGAGAAAATATATAAAATATCAAGATTCATAGCAGTAATATTTATAACAGCAAAAACCTTAATTCAAATGATCATCAAAGGATAAATTGTAGTTTATACAATGGAAGATATTATATTTCACCAGTGAACCAGGACTATAGAAATCAGCATGGATGAAATCTCACAAATATAATTTTGAGTTGGGAAGAAAGTCACAGGACTACATATGCAATATATTTCCATACGTAAAAAGTTGAGGATACATGTACAGAAAAAGAACAGCTAAGAAGTGATAAGCAAAACTTCAGGGTAACAGATACCCCAATGAAGGGAGAGGATGAGCCATGGTAGGGGCATCAGATGTCATTAGGCAGGGGCCCTCAAGCATCTGAAATGACATGGACAATTTTCTGTATCTACATGAAGTTTTGTTCTATTATTACTTAAACTACATATATACGCTAATATATATTGATGGATATGATTTATTTAATAATAAATAATATATAAAACTTCATAATATATCCTTTGACACTAAAGTTTCACATCAAATTTTTTCCTGTGAAATCTGAACAAAGACAAAAAAGATTGGGCAGAGGTGGCGGGGGTAAGCTGGGGAGTTGTGTTAACAGAAATACATACAATTATCGGGTATCAGGCCTTCATTTACCTTTTTTTTAAAGATTTTATTTTTGGGGCTGGCGCTACAGCATAGTGAATAAAGCCGCTGCCTGCAGTGCTGGTATCCCATATGGGCATTGGTTCGAGTCCTGGCTGCTCTGCTTCTGATCCAGCTTCTTGCTGATGTGCCTTGTAAGACAGCGGAGGATGGCCCAAGTCCTTGATTCCCTGCACCCATGTGGGAGACCTGGGTGAAGCTCCTGGCTCCTGGCTTTGCCCTGGCCCAGCTTCGACCACTGTGGCCACTTGGGGAGTGAACCAGCAGATGGAAGATTCTCTGTCTGCCTCTGCCTCTACCTCTCTGTAACTCTGTCTTTCAAATAAATAATAATAATAATAATCTTATTTTTTATTTATTTGAAAAGAGGAGAGAGAGATCTTCCATCCTCTGGTTCACTCCCCAAATTGCTGCAATGACCAGGGCTGGGCCAGTCCGAATTCAGGAACCAGGAACTTTTCCTGGGAGTCCCACGAGTATGCAGGGGCCCAAGGACTTAGGCCACCTTCTACTGCTTTCCCAGGCACATTAGCAAGGAGCTGGACTGGAAGTGGAGCAGCTGGGTCTCAAACCAGGGCCCATATGGGATGCCGGCATCACAGGTGGAAACTTAACTTGCTACACCACAATGCTGGACCCCTTCCATTTACCTTAATGCCTCCTGTATCTATGTAAAAATCCTTCCCACATCAAAAAGCCACACTCTTACTCTCTTTTCCCTCAGATTTTTTGTAGCTGCTGTTTAAAGACCATCATCCTCCAAGAAATCCTGCCTCTTAGCTTTTCCTTTGAGCTTCTTTTACATCAGCTTTCTCTTCAGATATACCATAGTACAGCTATGTCATATCCCTACTATTAGCCTATCAACTGTTTGATTAACTGTAAACTGTATGTAAAATACCCCAGCACCTTGCAAGTACGTTTTTTTTTTTTTTCCTCCTGATAGGCAGAGTGGATAGTGAGAGAGAGACAGAGAGAAAGGTCTTCCTTTGCCGTTGGTTCACTCTCCAATGGCCGCCGCAGCCGGTTCGCTGCAGCCGGTGCGCTGCAGCCGGTTCATCGCGCTGATCCGAAGCCAGGAGCCAGGTGTTTCTCCTGGTCTCCCATGCGGTGCAGGGCCCAAGCACCTGGGCCATCCTCCACTGCACTCCCTGGCCACAGCAGAGAGCTGGCCTGGAAGAGGGGCAACCGGGACAGAATCCGGCGCCCCAACCGGGACTAGAACCCAGTGTGCCGGCGCCGCAAGGCGGAGGATTAGCCTAGTGAGCCACGGCGCCAGCCTAAGTACGTTGTTTAAATTGCAAATTTAGTAATGCTGTTTAAAGGAACGAATAAACTTGACCTTTCAGAGAAATAATGTGGCTTTTGGAAGCTTACTGTTTCTATAATTGCTGCTGTTGCTTTTACTACTACTAGCAGCTAACAGCGAGAGAGTTCTTAGCATGAGATGAGATGAAATTATTTAAAACACTCAAAGCATAACCTCACTTTACAGTGACAACACAGAACCACAGGGAAGTTAAGTAACTTTTCTGAAAGTCACTGCATGTAAATATCAGGCAAGGTTTGAGCCTAGTTCTTCATTTACAGCCTTCTATAGAGCTCCAAAGTTCATCAGATTAGGAAAAGATTTTTTAAAATGGGAAGAGGCTTATGAAACTGAGAGGAAACACAACTCAGAGAATAGATAAATGAGCTATTAGAATGGAGAGGACAAAGTATGAAAACTGAGACAATTAAAAATAGCAAATAGGAAAAAAATCCTAAAAGGTCAAGTTATTATTAAAACCTAGAACATTTGAGCAGAAATTCCACTAATGAAGAGTGAAAGGGCAATACCTTTGAGTCAAGCTGAGCTGTCACCTGCAAAGGTTTTGGCCTGCCTAGTTCCTCTTCACTCACCTGAGCACAAGCCTTTCGTCAGCTCTCTCTTCACCATCCAGGGCTCTTTTCCTTGTTCCAACAATAATATCACACTTGGCTTAGAAAAGCAAAGTCCTGCACATATGAAAAGAAACAGAACTGGATCATGCTATGGCTATCGTAAAACACACAACCGACCTACTGATCATGGCAGGGAGTAGGGGTGGGGAGCTTACACTAAGCCAAAGGAAAATTTATCAGGGACATGTATTAGAAGGATGGGAAAGCTAATGTGTTAGGCATAATTCAATAACAGAACTGTCCATTACCAACTCCAAAGTTACTAACTCAACTACTTGGCACAGAGAGCACACATTCAGCCAGGCATTGCAGATACTATCAAAAAATTCACACTAGTGGCCGGCGCCTCGGCTCACTAGGCTAATCCTCCGCCTAGCGGCGCCGGCACACGGGGTTCTAGTCCCGGTCGGGGCGCCGGATTCTGTCCCGGTTGTCCCTCTTCCAGGCCAGCCCTCTGCTGTGGCCAGGGAGTGCAGTGGAGGATGGCCCAGGTGCTTGGGCCCTGCACCCCATGGGAGACCAGGAAAAGCACCTGGATCCTGGCTCCTGCCATCGGATCAGCGCGGTGCGCCGGCCACAGCGCACCGGCCGCGGCGGCCATTGGAGGGTGAACCAACGGCAAAGGAAGACCTTTCTCTGTGTCTCTCTCTCTCACTGTCCACTCTGCCTGTCAAAAAAAAAAAAAAAAAAAAATTCACACTAGTGTAGCAAGGAGTCCCTTATGAGGAGAAATTCAATTTTGCAAGGGGAAGCTATCCTTACCCAGAGATACCAAGACGCTGTAGTTCTCCAGCATCACATTACTGTATAGGTGCCTTTGAGAAGAATCTAGACAGTCCCACTCCTCTTGGGAAAAGTCTACAGCCACATCTCCAAAGGTCACCAACTCCTGAAATAAAATAAATGAAATAACCTCTGCTCTTACCATCCCACCTCATTTAGTCTACCCCACTACACTGGCTTCTCCCTAATATCTGCAAATACGTCAACCATTTTCTCACTCAGGGCCTTTGTACTCCTCAGATCATTCCATATGAAAACAGCAATGTTCCTACTCTGTTTCATGATTCCACTAATCCTGTTTTATTTTTCTCCACAGCTTTTTAATTATTTTGCTTATTTATTGTCTGTCTCCCCCCACTCCCAGTAAAAATGTAGGTGTGATGAGGGCAGAATACATTTTTGCTTTGGTCCTGCTATATCCCCAATTAAATAGTAATTGGCATGATCAGAAATGCAAATACTTGTTGAATAAACTGAATTAATGAATGAATGGTTTGAAAATTTCAAGAAGCTATAAGAGGATCAAAAATGCACTGTAGGGGCCGGTGCTATGGCACAGCGGGTAGATCTGCCACCTACAGTGCCAGCATCCCACATGGGCGCCGGTTCTAGTCCCAGCTGCTCCTCTTCCCATCCAGCTCTCTGCTATGGCCTGGGAAAGCAGTAGAAGATGGCCCAAGTCCTTGGGCCCCTGCACCTGTGTGGGAGACACAGAAGGAGCTCCTGGCTCCTGGCTTCAGATGGGCGCAGTTCCGGCCGTTACGGCCAATTGGGGAGTGAACCAACGGATGGAAGACCTCTCTCTCTCACTCTCTCTCTCTCTCTCTGCCTAACTCTGACTTTCAAATAAATAAACTGTACCCACTTTAAAATGAGCAAGCAGAACACATTAACCAAAAATTTAAAAAGGTATATAACAGGGTTATCAGTCCCACTGACACATGTTACAAATAAAAGCACTCCTTAATAATTGTAACTGCCCTCCCACCCTCTACCAATGACACCAGAAATTGCTTGCTATACCTCTGAAAATTGTGCTAGACTAGGCAGAGCAAATATTCAATTGCATTAAACTTCAAAAACTTTAACAGAGAGCTACAGTGGCTTCTAGGTGCAAAGATTCCTTCCTCTGAAGCCCGGTCATTGGGTGTCGGGGGGAGGGTTGGGGGGAAGTCTTATTTCCCAAAATGTTTGTACCACAGCACCTGGAAGTGAGAGGTGAGGCAGGTAACCTCTTTGCTCCTCCTATCTGTTTCCAGACCATTTCCTCCCCCAACCTCACTAAAAACAACTAATTTTAAATCTTACGAAATCAGAGGAAATTTCTCCTTAGTTTAGTTATCTACAGTTAATCAAAGACAGGAATTCTGTCATGGCTTGAACACTTCAGCACCAGGCTACTGCCACTGTCTCCAGTGCTATTCCTATCATAATCTGATCACTTCCATATCCATATAAGAAACACCCCAACAACCTGGCCTCTTAATTCTCCGACACCCACTCTCCTCCAATAATCTTGTCCTCCACTCCTCCACGGTTAGGACGCAGACCTGGTCACTACCAGTAAGTTCCAAATTCTCCATAATCCCAGTTATTTCCACCTTTTTTATTTCAATTTTCTCTCTGATACTCTCAATCAGGAAAATTTTTTTGACCTTACAAGAACATAACGATTCACTGGTTTCACTGTTCCTCGTGCCCACATACCTTCACTTCCTAGCACAACCATTTGTTGTAAGTACCCCCCGCGTATGCCTTCAACTTCCCCACCCCCTCTCTCACGTAACTATAACCACCTCATTAAACTAAAGCCCTCTTTTAGTTTATTTTGTGACTATACCCTAAGAAGCTGAACTTTGCTAGAGAAAATCATACCCACCATGCTAATTAGTTTAAGTTAATGATCCTTACCCTCACGTGGGCCAAAATGCCACCAACATTTCCCTAGCCCATTCTTTCCCACTCTGCTCAAACCTTCCATACCTCCTTCCAGTCTATCACTCTCATCTGATGATCTTACTTTCATTCAAAGAGAATCTCCTCAAACTCTCACCACAACATTTATACTCTTATCTGCATCTGAGCCTACACTCCTGTACGCAAACTTGCCTCATTACCAGGGAATTTGGGAAGCGGTCCAGGCTGTATACAATCAGTAACTGTTGGCAGGGCCGACGCTGTGGCGCAGCAGGTTAACGCCCTGGCCTGAAGTGCCAGATTCCCATATGGGCACCGGTTCGAGACCTGGCCACTCCACTTCCAATCCAGCTCTCTTTGGGCCCCTGCACCCACATGGGAGACCAGGAAGAAGCTCCAGGCTTCTGCCTTCGGATCAGCGCAGCTCTAGCCATTGCAGACAACTGGGGAGCGAACCAGTGGATGGAAGACCTCTCTCTGCCTCTCCTCTCTCTGTGTAACTCTTTCAAACAAATAAATAAATCTTTAAAAAAAAAAAAAAAGTAACTGTTGGCACGTAAATGGTATTTGAAGCCATGAGACAAAGTAGTGAGTATAAGAAAAGAGGCTCAGGGACTAAGCTTTGGGACACCCAAATTAATAGGTACTTAAGTAGCATGTGGTGAATGAATGACGTTTGGGACAGAACTAGAATGAAGACGTTGACCTGTTTCTGTATCTGAAGGAACAGTTTTTCAGGCTGAGGGAACAGCAAGTACAAGGAGCTGCAATAAGAACATTCTCAACTAGTTACAAGGAAGCTGCTGTGGCTGGAACGGGGGGCTTGAGTTGGAAGATCAGGAGAGAGAAATTAGATCAGGTCAGAGGGATAGGAATGGACCAGATGACACAGGGCCCTGCTGGCCAAGACTCCCACACTGACCTATCTGAGACAGGAATTCCACTGGAGGGTTTTCAGAAGTGGCAAGATTGGTTACCCAGAAACGTTTCAGCAAAAGGAAAGTTAATGTGTTCTTGGTTTGAAAAACTGGAAGGTATTTCAGGAAAGAGAGCAAACACCAACTCACCTGGTACATGGCTTTAAGCAGCCCCACAGCCATTCTTTCTTCCTAATGGCTCTTCTCTTGAGAAATGGCAGTGTCCTCAGATGACTGAGACGGGGAAGAAAATACAAGCAGCGCGGCTTGTGTTGCAGCATCCAGAATCACCAGTCTGGGCTCTTTGGGCTTCTCTTCCCTCCTGCTGTCAACTTTCCTCCAATAAAGAGAGCATAAAGGAGACCTAGGAATTTTTTTTGCATAGAATTTCAATCTGTGCCTAAATTATTTCCTAATTTTTATTTTAATAATAGATTTTCTAGGTTTTACAAAACAAGACTCCAAGAAACTTCATCACTTACATAAAGTCACAAAACCAATAAATAATCACATCAATCACAGCGGTTGAGACAACTGATACGCTGGTTGGAATGGCCCATTCCACAAGGGAATGACTGCGTTCCAGCTGCAACTCTTCCTGATTCCAGTTTCCCGCTAATGCACACCCCTGGAATTCAGCAGGTAATGGCTCAAGTACTTGGGTCCCTGACACGCATGGGAGACCCAGATGGAGTTCTTAGCTCCTGGCTTCAACCTGGCCCAGCGCTGGCTGTTTCAGGCATTGGGGTGAGTGAACCTGTGGATGGAATCTCTCCCCCCTCTTCAAATAAAACTGAAACAGTAAATAAAAATGTGAAAACATCAAATACAAGGCTGCCTGAATCCACAGGGCTACTCTCCAATCAATCAGTGATTCTGACACTTGGTGGCATAATGACATCACTTGGGTGGCTTTAGCAGATACTGGGTGTCACCAGTTATCACTCAGTACCCTCACATATCCAGTCTTAGAAACTACAGTGCCAGCTGCTTGCCCCAGACGCCATGGGCATGGGCAGTTTCACACGGACACCTTCCCCCAGACCCCAAATCTCGGACACTACGGTATCAGAACCGACGGTGTCATTCACACACCCCAGTCACAAAGAGGCCGCGGGTACCGGCACAACCGAGGGCAAGGAATGCCCACCCTCCCGCACTCACAGCCTGACGCTCTAGGGCACCCATCATCGACCCACGCCCGCAGTCGCACAGGTAAGACAGGCAAGTGTGGTGACTGTCTCACACGGAGAGTCACGGCAAGGGGCCTGGGGTCGGCGTCAGGGTGACCCACAGGCCACTCCTCAGCCCGCTCCCTACCTGCAGAACTGAACTGCGGAAAGAGCCGTTTCCGCTTGGAAATCTCCGGAAATCTCCACTAGGGCCTTACGCCCCGTCTAAGAGTTACGGGGAACCCAAATACTGCCGGCCCGGAAAGAAGCGCCTCAGCAGCCTAGGCCTCCGGAGGACACAAAGGGACCGACGGCCCAGTTCCCGCGGGGGCCACTGGGAAATGTAGTCCGCAGCGGAGTCCGCGTACCTCGGCTCAGAGCCGCTCAGGGTTGCTAGTACCACCCCCTCGGCACCGCATCCTCGCACTCCCTCAGGCCCCGGTCTTCCAGAAAAGAGTCCGAAAGTCCGTTTTCCTTTCAGCTCCGAGCTTGGGCCGGGCACAGGTACTGCGCCGGGTGTCACAGGGGACGGTGCACAGGCACAGGGCTCGACCTATTTCCGTTACCAACACACAGCCACAACCTAACTGCAGGGGGAGAGGTTTGGGCGCGCACACTGCACTACTACACAAGAGTGGGTGACTTCCTAGAATCCTACTGGAATGCCGGAAAAAAAAAGTGGAGTGCCGGGAGATAGAGTGCGCAAGCGCGTTATGCTTCCTTCCGCCCGGTCCTGCTCCCCGCCGCCCGCGCTATTGCTTTGGAGGTGGTTACTTGAACGCAGCTCCACCCCTACATTTCCACTTGGCATTTCCTAGCCACCCTGCTGTGGCTCCGCCCCTGTGACAGGTGTCTGCCTGGACCCCAAGTTTGAAACATCCTTTGCATTCGAGGTGGAGGCCCCCATGGCTGCTCTCTGAGACTAATGCTGGCGTCTGCAGCTTTCCCGGGTTTGCCTGCCATATTCCTTGGTGCGTGCCTGACATGGCTGGCACCTTTAGTTTTCTGAGATTTCTTCTGAAGCTCCACGCTTATAGCTTCATTTTTGTACCACTCCATGCAGGCCCCCCAGTCCTGCAGCACGACTCTTTTCTGGCTTCAGAGGCTTACCTTTGAAAACTTGGTAGAAGCCACCGTGACCATAACTCTTGCATTCTGCACACCTGCAAAACCCGCTTCACCTCGACGACACCAAGGTTTGCCACCAACAGGAGCCACTCCTGGACCCTGTCGAGTCAGGACTGCAGTGGCCTCTGAGAACTCTGCCAACTGGCCAGAATCCTGTCTCTGGGATTTCCGGAAGCAGTTCTGGCCGGTAATGGGAGGGGCATTTAAGATCCCCGGAATGCCCTCAGAGTCTTTCTCTAATCGTCTTGATCATAAACACTTGGTTTCCTTTTCCTTGCACTAACCCGTTTAGAAAATGGTTTCTCTAACTCAATTTCTTATCCTAAACAAGTTTTTCTTCCTTCCTTCCCTGGACAGGCTGAAATTTTTCATGCTCTGCTCCCACTTGCTCCTGATTCCCACTGCAAAACTTACTAGCAGTAACAATAACAAGTAACACGCAGGCTGCGGCCAGAACACTTGGCTGCCTTGAGATGTCCTCCACCAAACACGGGGTCCACCATCTTAAGTTCAACCTCCATGAAGTCACACTCCAGATTCTCTGCCCCATGTAGCATGGGTGATCTTTTTTGTTTAAAGATTTATTTATTTATTTGAAAGTCAGAGTTACACAGAGAGAAAAGGAGAGGCAGAGAGAGAGAGAGAGAGATCTTCCATCCGCTGGTTCACTCCCCAACTGGCTGCAACGGCTGGAGCTGTGCCCATCCGGGGCCAGGAGTTTCTTCCAGGTCTCCCATGAGGGTGCAGGGGCCCAAGGACTTAGGCCATCTTCCACTGCTTTCAGCTGAGACTCAAACCGGCACCTGTATGGGATGCCGTCCCTGCAGGTGGTGGCTTACTCCTCACGCCACAGCACAAGCCCCAGCATGGGTGATCTTTAGTCCAGTTCCTAACAGAATATTTAGTTCCATCTGAAAAACTCATCAGCATGGCCTTTACTGTCCACATTTCTACCAGCATTCCAGTCTTCTAAGCCTCATCAGAATCACCAATGGCACTGTTTGTAGCATTCTAGACTTTCTCTAGTCTGCTTCTTCAAATTCTTCCAACCTCCACATATTCAGGTATATCCCACTTCTTGATACCAGTTTTCTGTATTAGCTTTCATTAATTTTACTGAAACACCTTAGTTGAGCTTCTTGGGAAGGAAGAGGTTTGTTTCAACTCAACACTTTGGAGGTTCACAGTTCAAAATCAGGTAGCTCCATTAGTGGGCCATCTGATGGAGGCTAGCAATGATGTAGCATGTGCAGAGGGAAGCTCACATGGTAAGCCAAGAAGCAGAGAGGAGCTAGGCCAAACTCCACTTAAAAAGCCAACCCTTTCAAGAGAATTACCTTCCAAGGGCAAGCCCCCAGTGATACTAAATGTCTCCCACTAACCCCACCTCTCGTCTGCCATCATCAGATGAAGTGTCCACCCTAATCCATCAACCATTAGCATTAATCCATTAACTGTTAATGCAAGATTTTGGGGCTTAAATATCTGCATGAATTTTGGGGAGCCAAGTACTTAAATATCTGCATGAATTTTGGGGAGCCAAGTACTGTTTAATCCATAACACTTTCTATGCTCTATAGCACAATTGACCGCCATGGTTGACGATGACTAATTGCTGATTTCAAAAAAAGATAAATGTTTGAGATGATGAATATGCCAGTTACCTGTCATTATACACTGCATACATGTATTGAAATACCATACAGTAACCCATAAATATGTATAACTATTATACATCTGGGCTGGGCACCAATTTTTAAAAATTATAGAATGCCACTAACGCAGTATTCAGGGGGCATATGTAACACTAAATACCTACATTAGAAAGAAGGAAGGTCTCAAATCAATGACTTCATCTTCTACTTTAAAGAAACTAGAAAGAGGGGCTGGCACTGTGGCATAGTAGGTTAAGCCTCCACCTGGAGCACTGGCATCCCATATGGGCACTGGTTCAAGTCCTGACTGCTCCAATTCCAATCCAGCTCCTTGGTAATGGCCTGGGAAAGCAGTTGAGGATGACCCAACTGCTTGGGACCCTGTGCCTACATGGGAGACCCAGAAGTTCCTGGCTCCCAACTTCAGTCTGGCCCAGCGCAGGCTGTTGTGGCCATTTGGGGAGTGAACCAGTGGATGAAAGATCTCTCTCTCTTTCTTTCTGCAATTCTACCTTTCAAATAAATAAAATAAGTCTTTTTAAAAAAATAAAAAACCAGATGAAAAATTTTTGTGAAGATGGAAATATTTACATCTTGACTGTATAAATATAAATCTACAGGTTGTTATATATTTATGATTTTATAAGAGTTGTATTGAAGGAAGTTGGATAAAAAGTTTCATGTGATCTCTCTCAGTAATTTCTTAAACTACATGTGAATCTAGAATTCCTTCAAAAAGGAAGAAAATAAATACTAAGATGGTAGACCAAAGCTAAACTATACTAAATGTTAACTTACTAAATACGGAAAATGAGTAATACTGTAAAAAAAAAAAACTGTTAGTAAAAATGGTGCAGACTTGTCTGTGGCACCATCTACACATGGACGCCATCTTAGGTTCTGGCCCCCATGGCCACCTTGCATAGTAAGCTTCGATCAATCGATCAATCAGTGGTAAGCCCCATGGCCCAACTACAGGTGTGAGCTCCACCTCCACCCTAATGGGATTCGCTTCTCCTACTTCCCTGCCCAGCTCCCTCCCACCCCTGCAAATGTATAACAGGACCTGCTTCCAGCACACGTACTGTCTCTCCTGATCCCTCTCTCTCTTACTCTCTCTGCCTTTCCCCAGGTCCATCGGGCTTCCCCCACCCGACAATAAACCTTTCTCTTAATTCCGGTGTTCGGTGTGTTTTGTAGAAGCCTTACAAAAACCAATGCTGTCTAATAAAAGTCACGCTTTAAAAATAAAATACAAAATATAAGCATTAGAGGGAAGCGTGGGCATTCAGTGCAGTGGCTAAGGCGAAGCTGCTTGATGCCTGCATTCCCTGTCAGAGTGCCTGGGTTCACGTCCCAGTTTTAGCTTCCTGCTCACGTGCACTCTGGTAGGCAGCAGGTGGTGACTTGTGTGCTTGTGTTCCTCTCATCCACAGGAGAAACCTGGATGGAGCTCCAGGCTCCCGGATTCAGCCTGGCTCAGCCCCCGCTATTGCTATTGCCGGCATTGGAGGAATGAGCCAGCACATGGCAGATCGCTGTCAGTCTATCTGTTTCTCTTTGCCTTTCAAATAAAGATGAAAGTATGTTGGTTTTGTATTGCTGTTATCAGTGGTTCCAGAAATCAAAATAATACCTTTCTCTTTTAAATCCCCTGGTGTATCATTCGCACTTACCACACTCTATTTAGGCAGTATTTGTGTATATTTTTTTCTCATACTGGGTTATAATAAACTTTAGAATAGGAAATGTACTTTGTCCTTGAAAACCTTTAAAATTTCTCACACAGGCCCTGGCCTTACTGAATTTCTGATGTTTGAGCCAGGAAATTCACTTTTATAAATTAGACTGGGAAATAATTACACATATGCTGAAAGACATGTGTACAAAGAAGTTCTTTAAGGCATGAATTATAATGACAAAAAATATAAAAAAGGAAACCTTGAAACATCATTCAAATTAGGTTATATATTTAACATGTTGATTTTTTACTTACCACTAATGGAAATATGTTCAAAATTTGTTATTATGCATGAAATGTAGAAAAATATGCATAAGTGATTCTTTCTAAAATATGCACTAAAATGAAAATAAGCATGGCAAAATGTTAATAATAATTATTCCAGGTTATTAGATTATTTGGATATATTTATTTATAGTTTCTGATCATCTTTTTTGTGTTTTTTTGGGGGAACAGACATGTTTTGATATTACTTTTATAAAGACTAAACAATTTATTTTCACTTTTTTTTTAAAAAAAGATTTATTTGTGTTTATTTGAAAGGTAGAGAGAGACACGGACACACAGAGAGACAGCTCTCCTATTCTCTGGTTCACTCCCAAATGACTGAAATGGCCTTAGCTGGACAAGGTTGAAGCCAGGAGCCAGGAACTCCATTTGGGTCCCCTATTTTGGTGGCAGGGGCCCAAGCACTTGGACCATCTTCCACTGCTTTCCCTGAGGCCATTAGCAGGGAGGTGGATAGGAAGTGGAGCAGGTGGGACTCAAACTGACACCCATATGGGATGCCGGTGCCGCAGGTGGAAACAACCAACTATGCCACAGTGCTGGCCCCCAGATACTAATTTTCTAAAATGAATGTTCCCACATTTCACTCTAGCTCGTTAACTTATATGTCATTAGGAATCCTTAGGAGTAGACTACAAAATAAGATGGTGTATAATAATTTCCAGAATGAATGTGGTGAACTTTTGATGGAGGGGAGGAATCAATAATGGAAGACATATTCCCTAGGTCCCCATCACACATCAGGTATAGAAAGAATAAGCAGAGTAAGTGTGTAGCCTAGTGGTTAAGATGCCCACGTCACACACTGAAATATTTGGGTTCGACTTCCAGCTTTAGCTCCTGATTCTAGTTTTCTGTCAATGCAGACCCTGGGAGGCAGCGGTGATGGTTTAAGTAGCTGAGTTCCTGCCACCCACGTGGGAGGCCTGGATTAAGTTCTTGACTCCAGCCCTGGCTCAGCCCTACCTGTCATGGGCATTTTGGGAATCTACCAGTGAATGAGTGTGCTCTCTTTTCCTCTGAAAAACAAATACAAAAACAAAACATAAAACAAGAAACAGATTCTTAGATGTTACTACATACTAAAAATTTGAAAAGTCCCAGAAGTGTTCCTACTCCTAAAACAAGTGGGAGTTTATGGTACTAATAAAAGAGGAGAAGGGGTGGACACTAACACGGTGCAATGCCTTTTTGTATCCTCCTGTGATTCCTCTCTTGCAAGAAAGGTATGAGTAGAGCTGAGAGAGGAAGTAGGAATTATGATACAGCCCTGCCTTGTAATTACAGACTAAGCTGGGTAGTCGGCTCCACATCCAACCACCTACATGTAAGAGAAAGATTAATAACAATTGCGTACCTTTTTATGAAACAGAGAAGTCGGGGTCTCCATTTTGTGGAGCTAGATTCCTCCCCAAATTCACAGTAGCATCCTGTTACTGAAGCCAGTGTAGGTTCTAAGGTGTATTTGATGTACATAGAAGTCCCAGTGGACGATCTGGGTTTCAGGGAAATGGGACATTGCTGATACTTGAAGCTCGCTTCCTCTCAAAGAGTCTACGTCGGCAGCTGACTGACTAAACTTCTGCTCAAGTGGGTCTAAAAATCATGGTCTCAAACTGTCACAGTAGCAGAAACTGAGCGTTACCAGAATTTAATTAGTTTGAGGCCACAAAGCTGGTTAATGGCCCTATGTGTTTAGAATCCAGGTAGTCCGGCCACATTTCCCTGCCTGTCAGTCACGCTCCCAATCCCAGGTCATCTAGTTCATTAATGCTGTCTCAGACACATTCAAGAAGTCCACCAACACACTGTCACTGACAAAACTGCAGGACCAGAACAGGAGAATGCACGATTCGCGAGCACGGTCACACACACACACCTGCAAATTCACAGGACCGCAAAAGCCACGGGACCGTAGAGTCTCCCAGTCCCATAAACCCCAAATCCTAAATCCATGGTCGAATTTCCACACACACACAGTCCCAGGACATCACTGCTTCCTCTTCTGACTCCTGCTAGGAGCTTGAGGCTCAGGCAGACTTGTGATCTTTCCTTTCCACCCCGATGTAGCCCAGCCCAGAGTGGAGCCGCGACCAGGCGAAACTAAAGAGACTGAGCGACGCCTCCTTCGCCAACCTGACGCTCCCCAAAGCTGTAAGGAGGAAACGCCTTTTTGCAGAAAAATCGTCTTATGCCGTGAAGGCCTCTGGGAAATGTAGTTCGGGACCGCGAAGTCGCGGCCCCATTCCGATTCTTCGCAGTACCTGGTTGCACTCCCTGAGGAGATCAAGGGAGGCTGCTCTCGCCAGACCCCCGGCTGGTGCTCCTGCGCAGGGCTGCGCACCTTTCAATGCCGCCGTTGGTTTTCTCACTAATGGCAAACGGGCAGGTTAGTCCCACCCGGGTGAGCCGCGGGGGCGTCTGGGAAGCGTTGCCCTGCGTCTAGCGGACCGAAGCATTTTGTGGCTCTCAGTCGCCGCCAGCTGTGACCTCAGGGGCGCCCCTATCCTAACCCGCGCCGAGAGTGCGGCCTGGGGCGTGGACTCGGGGCCTGAGTCCGCGCGCGGGCTCGGGGGTGAGTCCTCGGGGACTCTGCGCAGGGAGGGAGCGGGGCCTGCGGGGCCGGGGCCGGCCGTTCCCTGAGGCCGTGGGTGTGGCGTGAAGTGCCTGGAATTTGCTGGGCATTTGGCTGGCTGAGTGTGGCCTTGGGATCGTGCCTGCAAACGCTTTTTGGGGATGTGCTTTTCCGTTTTATGTTTCAGTATGAACATGGGCGCCACCGTCCGTGACAGGAACGAGAAACTCCGTGAATGAAGGTAGGGTTGGGTTGTGTGTGTAAATGTGTGACACTGCATCGCTGTAGGCCCAACACTGCAATACCTACTTTTAATTGTATATTCTTATGTTAACAATGTCGTTTTGTGTGCGTATTCAATTTTCTCTCCTTGCTCCCCAATCCCTTGCCCAAAATCGCAAAACACGGAAAAGTTCAGAGAACAAAAATCGTTCATACGTCTACCAGCCATGGAGGCACTGTCACAATTTACTCATCTTTATTTTCGAATCTATATGCATGTATTCGTATGTTCTTATATAGGTGCGTAATGACGTAAAGTTGTAAATGCACTATACATACAGTTCTGCAATCTTTTTTAAATTTTTATAAAGATTTATTTATTTATTTGAAAGAGTTACACAGAGAGAGGAGAGGCAGAGAGAAAGAGAGAGACAGGTCTTCCATCCGTTGGTTCACTCCCCAATTGGCCGCCATGGCCGGAGCTGCACGAATCGGAAGTCAGGAGCCAGGAGCTTCTTCCGGGTCTCCCACATAGGTGCAGGAGCCCAAGGACTAGGGCCATCTTGTACTGCTTTCCCAGGCCATAGCAGAGAACTGGATCAGAAGTGGAGCAGCCAGGTCTCGAACTGGCGCCCATATGGGATGCCTGCGCTTCAGGCCAGGGCATTAACCCACTGCACCACAACGCTGGCTCCCAGGCATTCTTTCTTTTTAACAATGTGTGATTAATAAGTTTTCATTTGAAAAATTACACATCTGTGTCATGGTTTAAAAGTTTTTTTGTAGTGTACATTTTAATGCATTTGCTCCTATTGATGGTAATTTGGGTCTGCCAGATTTCTTGCATTTATAAATGGGGGTTTAGCAGCAACTATTTGGTACATGCTACAATGTACTCTTTTCTTAAAAAAAGATTTATTTACTTGTGAGGCAGAGCTACAGAGAGGAAGAGGGAGAGACAGAGAGAGGGGGATCTTCCACCCACTGGTTCACACCCCAAGTGCCTGCAACAGCTGGAGCTGGGCCTATACGAAGCCAGGAGCCAGGAGCTTCCTCTGGGTCTCCCAGGTGGGTGCAGGGGCCCAAGCAGTTGGGCCATCTTCTGCTTTCCCGGGCCATAGCAGAGAGCTGGATTGGAAGTGGAACAGCTGGGACTAGAACTGGTGCCCGTATGGGATGCCAGTTCAGCAGGCAGATACTTAACACACTATGCCACAGCTGAAAGGAGAAATCAGCAAAGGAAACTGGAAAGGACTAGTTAAAAAGATTGAGGACAACTAGATGAGGGTGGTATCCAGGAATCCAAGGGAAGAAGGTGTTTTAATGAGAACTGTCAGGTGCTATTGATAGGCCAAGTAAATGAGGCCTGAGAATTTAGTCATTGATGTTCCGGAAAGCAGTTTCATTGGAGTATGAGGCTAAAGAGAAAACTGAAGAACAAAAATTGGAAATATCAAGTCCAGATAACTTTTACCCCCAAGATTTATTTATTTGAGAGAAAGAGGGGCCGGTGCCGTGGCGCAGTAGGTTAATCCTCCGCCTGGAGCGCCAGCATCCCATAAGGGCGCCGGTTTTAGTCCCGGCTGCTCCTCTTCCAATCCAGCTCTCTGCTACAGCCTGGGAAAGCAGTAGAAGATGGCCCAAGTCCTTTGGCCCCTGCACCCATGTGGGAGACCCGGAAGAAGCTCCTGGCTCCTGGCTTTGGAGCAGTGCAGCTCCGACTGTTGCGGCCATCGGGGAGTGAACCAATGGATGTAAGACCTTTCTGTCTCTCCCTCTCACCGTCTGTAACTCTCTCAAATAAATAAAATAAAATAAAAATTAAAAAAAGAGAGAGGGACATGCACACACATTCTCTCTCTCGCTCTCTCACTCTCGCTCTCTCGCTCTCTCTCTCTCTCCCATCTACTGATTCACTCCCCAGATGATCACAACAGCTAGGTCTGGAGCAGGCCAAAGCCGGGAACCAGGAGCTCCATCTGGTCTTCCACATGGGTGGCAGAGGCCCAAGTACTTGAGCCATGAGTTGCTGCCTTTCCCTGCACGTTAGCAGGAAGCTGGATTGAAAGCTGGGCAGCTGGAACTTGAACCAGTTCTGTAATACAGGGTTGGAAGCAGTAGCTTAATGCACTGTACCACAGTTTAGATAATTCCTGAAGTATTTTTTCTTAAATGGAAGAAGTGAAAGGAGTGATAGTTGGAGTTAAGAGCTATATGTTCACTCTTTATATGTTAATTAAAATGATCTGATAGACAAATTTGATGATACAGCAAAGAAAAGAGAGTAATACCATAAACGTGTCTTTAAGTAGCCAGAGCAAACAGGATCTAATAATAGAGTTTGCCTTAGTTTGGAGCATGACCGTAATAGCAGCAGGAGAGAAAGAAGTACCTGGCTCAGATACAGGTAGATGGACTGATGTGTTAGTGAGAGCTTCTCTTCTGATTGCTTCAATTTTATATTGAAGTAGGAAGCAAGAGACTTGGCTGAGAGTGAGGTTGGTAGAGGAAGGTTGAGGGTTTGAGGAATGAGAAAAAAAAATCGCTTAAGAGAGTGTAACAGAACACAGAGAAATATGATTTTCAAGGAAGTAGTGAAGAACCACTTAACGTTAGTATTCATGAATTTAGAGTGAGCCTATTCCACATAGCTGTGTGATTTCTTTTCTGCGGTGTTCATCTGTATAATTGTACCCACAGGGGAGAAGTTGGACTTAGTGCGTGTATTGGTTTCATAAAGCAAATTAGAAAAATGTCAAACAGAGGCGAAAGTCGTCTGAGTTAGCAAGATTTGATTATGTTGTTTGCCCATGGATTTAAGAATTGGTTATGTTGTTTGACTATGGATTTTAGGACAGATAACTAGAAAAGAGAGGATAGCAAGGGGTCAGGGACAGTGAAAAATTGGTAGATTCAAGGAACGGAAGTTCCTGATGGGGTTGAAGGACTACTGATGGAGAGATAGAAGGGTATTTTTCTCTTTGGTTGTCAAATATTTTAAAAATAGAACAGGTCTTGCTATTATGTTTTTAGGAAACATGGATAATTATTAGCTAGACCCATTGTTTCATTGGAGTTATAAAGTAGTTGTATTTGAATTCTGTCATTTCTTCTTCATTAATGAGCTGAAATATTTGTCTAAAGAAAAAAAATTCCCATAAGTGTTTTGTTACCCAACCAGGGTACAATTTGTACAAGAAAGACAGAATAAATAGATCACTGTCCTTTAGAAGTTTTTGGACTTTTGAATCGTTCTCAACATCTCCTGATGAGTTATTATTAACCTTATATATTTACATATATATGATTTTAACATAGTTGATGTGTTTTTGGCTGGCGCCATGGCTCAATAGGCTAATCCTCCGCCTTGCGGCGCCGGCACACCAGGTTCTAGTCCCGGTCGGGGCACCAGATTCTGTTCCGGTTGCCCCTCTTCCAGTCCAGCTCTCTGCTATGGCCCCGGAGTGCAGTGGAGGATGGCCCAGGTCCTTGGGCCCTGCACCCGAATGGGAGACCAGGAGGAGCACCTGGCTCCTGGCTTCGGATCAGTGCGATGTGCCGGCTGCAGCGTGCTGGCCGCGGCAGCCATTGGAGGGTGAACCAACGGCAAAAGGAAGACCTTTCTCTCTGTCTCTCTCTCTCTCTCACTGTCTACTCTGCCTGTCAAAAAAAAAAAAAAAAAACAAAAACAAAAACAAAAAAAAAAACACATAGTTGATGTGTTTTAAACCATTGCAATTACTTTTCTTTTGAAGCCCAAATGTTCCCATCTTTGGCCACCTTTTTTTTTTTTGAAAGGTAGAGTTAGAGAGAGAGAGAGAGAAAGGTCTTCCATCTGCTGGTTCACTCCCCAGGTGGCTTTAATGGCCAGAGTTGTGCCAATCCAAAGCCAGGAGCCAAGAGGTTCTTTCAGGTCTGCCACACGGGTGCAGGGGCCCTAGCACTTGGGCTATCTTCTATTGCTTTCCCAGGCAGTAGCAGAGAGCTGGATGGGAAGTGGAGCAGCCATGTCTTGAACTGGTGCCCATTTGCGATGATGGTGCTGCAGGCAGTGGCTTAACCCACTATGCCACAGTGCTGGCCCCTTGGCCACCTTTTTAAAATGGTTTCTGAATCCTTTTATCACATCCCTAGTAGTTTTTAATGGCATCCTACATTTCTGGTCTTACAAGAACTCCAAGTACCATTTTTTTTTTTTTTGACAGGCAGAGTGGACAGTGAGAGAGAGAGACAGAGAGAAAGGTCTTCCTTTGTCGTTGGTTTACTCTCCAATGGCCGCTGCAGCCAGCGCGCTGCAGCCGGCACACCGCGCTGATCCGATAGCAGGAGCCAGGTACTTATCCTGGTCTCCCATGGGGTTCAGGGCCCAAGGACTTGGGCCATCCTCCGCTGCACTCCCTGGCCACAGCAGAGAGCTGGCCTGGAAGAGGGGCAACCGGGACAGAATCCGGCGCCCCGACCAGGACTAGAACCTGGTGTGCGGCGCCGCAAGGCAGAGGATTAGCCTAGTGAGCCACGGCGCCAGCCCCATTTTTTTTTTTTTTTTTTTGACAGGCAGAGTGGACAGTGAGAGAGAGAGACAGAGAGAAAGGTCTTCCTTTGCCGTTGGTTCACCCTCCAATGGCCGCCGCGGCCAGCGCGCTGCGGCCGGCGCACCGCGCTGATCCGATGGCAGGAGCCAGGAGCCAGGTGCTTTTCCTGGTCTCCCATGGGGTGCAGAGCCCAAGCACCTGGGCCATCCTCCACTGCACTCCCTGGCCACAGCAGAGGGCTGGCCTGGAAGAGGGGCAACCGGGACAGAATCCGGCGCCCCAACCGGGACTAGAACCCGGTGTGCCGGCGCCGCAGGCGGAGGATTAGCCTAGTGAGCCGTGGCGCCGGCCCCTGTAAGATTGATTTTAACACATTTTTTTTTGTTTGTTTCTAAGAACAGATCTCTAGAGTTCATTTTTCTGTTTTCTCTGGTGTTATCCTCATTCCTTACTTTTAACCTGAGTGTTTATGATAAAGTGCATTTCTTGTAGATATATATATAATTAAATATACTTTTTAAAATCCATTCTGAGCACAGTAGTTTAATTGGTATGTTTAGACCATTTACTCTTATTTATAGATAAATTAATATCTACCATACCATTCTCCTAACAAATATTTGTTTCCTTTGATCTTTTTTTTTTTTGCCTTTGTCTGATTTTCTGGTTTTCATTGAACATTTTATCATTTTTTATTATCTCCTCTTTTGCTGTATCATTTATATTTCTTTAATTTTAGGGTTACCTGAAAGTTTTCAACATATTTTTAAAATGTGTTTATTTTACTTGAGAATAAGTTACAGTGAGACAGAGAGACCCCTCGTCCCCAAATCCCTGCAGTAGCTACGGCTGTCTCAGGCTGAAGCCAAGAGCCATGAAATCAATCCAGGCCTCCCACATGGGTGGCAAGGACTCAACTGCTTGAACCATCATCAGCTGCCAGTCCTTAACAGAAAGCTGGAATAGAGAATGGAGCTGGGAAACAAAGTCAGGCAGTCCAGTATGGGATGTGGGCATCCTGAGCAGAAGTTTAACCACTGCCCCAAACACCTTTCTCTTGAATATAGTATTTTTAGCCTAAGTTGACTTTCAAAAAATGCTATACTGCTTCACATGGAATATAGGGACCTTACAGCAGAGTGTTCTTAATTTCTCCCTCTTATCCCCTAGGACATTTCTGGCATTCATTTTACTTTACTCATGTGTGGTAATCACCCAATACATTGTTATCATCATTGCTTTAATTTTTTATAAAAATATTTATTTGAAAGGTAGAGTGGGAGCCAGCTGTGGCATAGTGGGTAAGGCCAATGCCTGCAGTGCTGGCATCCCATATGGGCGCCGGCTGGAGTCCCGGCTGCTCCACTTCTGATCCAACTCTCTGCTATGGCCTGGGAAAGCAGTAGAAGATGGCCCAAGTCCTTGGGCCCCTGCACCCATATGGGAGACCTGAAAGAAACTCCTGGCTCCTGGCTTCAGATAGGTGCAGCTGCAGCCGTTGGGGCCAACTGGGGAGTGAACCAGCAGATGGAAGACCTCTCTTTCTCTCTCTCACTCTCACTCTCACTCTCTCTGCCTCTCTGTCACTCTGCCTTTCAAATAAATAAGTAAAATCTTAAAAGAAAGGCAGAGTGACAGAGAAAGATAGAAAAATTCTTCCATCCGCTAGTTTGCTCCCCAAATGCTTGCAACAGCTAGGACTAGGCTAGGCCAAGGCCAGAAGCCTGAACTCTGTCCAGGTCTCCCCTGTGGGTAGCAGGAACCTAAGTACTTGGGCCATTGTCTGTTGTCTTCCAGGAGTATTGGCAGGCAGCTGAATTAGAAGTACAGAGAAGCCATGACTCAAACCAGTCACTCTGATATGGGATGAGGGCGTCCTAAGCAGCCTACCTACTACAATAGAATGCCTGCCCTCATTATTGTTGAAGTAAACATTCATCTTTTAGATCAGTTAAGAATAAAAGAACCAAAAGACTTTACTTTCATTAGTCCTGCTCTGATGCTTCTACTTTATTTTCCTTCCAAGTTTCTACCTGCATCATTTTTTTTTTCTCCTTAAAGAACCTTTTGACATTTCTTGCAAGGTAGTTCTGCTGGCGATAAATTTCCTTCAGTTTCAGTATGATGTCCTTTTTTTTTTTTTAAAGGATTTATTTGAAAGTGAGTTACAAAGAGAGAGAAGGAGAGGCAGAGAGAGAGGAAGAGAGGTCTTCCATCCACTGGTTCACTCCCCAGTTGGCCACAACAGCCACAGCTGCGCTGATCTGAAGCCAGGCACCAGGAGCTTCTTCCAGGTCTCCCATATGGGTGCAGGGGCCCAAGGAGTTGGGCCATCTTCTACTGCTCTCCCAGGCCATAGCAGAGAGTTGGATCAGAAGTAGAGCAGCTGGGACTCAAACCAGTGCCCCTATGGGATGCTGGTGCTGCAGGCAGCTGCTTTACCTGCTACACCACAGCGCTGGCCCCGACAGTATCACTTTAAAAATTTTTTTTATTAATATAAAGAGAACAGATTTCATGCATTCCATAGATAGTGTTAATAGTATCTCTTATACATTCCTGGCAAGAATACAAAATGGTATAGCCACTTTGGAAAACAGTTTGGGTTTTTTTAAAAAGCCAAATATGCACTAACCGTATTACTTAGCAATCCCAATTCTAAGTATTTATTCAAGTAAAGTGAAGACTTACATTCATACATCAATCTTTCCGAGAATGTTTATAGCTGCTTTTTAAAAGGACAACCAAATGTCTTTCAAAAAGTAAAGGAATTAACTCTGGTACATCTACAAAATTGAATTCTACGCAGTAGTAAAAAGATATGAACTATTGATTCATACAACATAGATAAAGCTTAAATAGTAATTTAAAAATTTTATTATATGAGGGAAGCTAGACCTAAAGCCTACATTTTTTTATTTTTTAAAAAAGATTTTATTTATTTATTTGAGAGATAGAGTTACAGACAGTGAGAGGGAGAGACAGAGAGAGAGGTCTTCCATCTGTGGTTCATTCCCCAAATGACTGCAACAGCTGGAGCTGACCTGATCCAAAGCTGGGAGCCAGGAGCTTCCTCCAGGTCTCCCACGTGGGTACAGGGGCCCAAGAGTCTGGGCCATCTTCTTCTGCTTTCCCAGGCCATAGCAGAGAGCTGCATCAGAAGTGGAACAACCAGATCTTGGACCGGTGCCCGTATGGGATGCTGGTTGTCGCAGGTGGAGGATTAACCTACTGAGCCACAGTGCCGGCCCCTAAAGCCTACATATTATATGATTCCATTCACACAACACCCTGGAAAAGGAAAAACTCAGAGGAAAGAAAACATACCAGTAGTTTCCAGGGATTGTGTGTGGGGAATGCATTAAGTATAAAGGAGAAACACCTAGAGGTTTAGGAGTGATGGAGATGCAGTTGTTTGACATTGCATTTGTCAAAACCATAAAATATTCCAAAACAAACAGTGAATTTTACTGTATGCAAGCTTTTAATAATTCACGCCAGGTAGAGGTGGAACCAGGATGGAATGTAGAACATGACAGGTTGTACATACAGTTATATGATAACATCACTGAAGGTGGTAGGGAGAAAAGGGGATGACCTAAGTATTTTGTAAAACAGTGTTTTGTTTTGTTTTTCTTTTTCAAATAGAAGGTTTTTATTGTGTCTTTAAAATATTTAAAAGGCCTTAGGGATCATCTGCCATCTAGTTTCTTAGGGATCATCTGTCCAAAGGTGGACAACTTTTTAATCTTTTCTACCAGCTTTACCAGCTCGCTGAACCATTCCTTTATTAGAGCCATAGATACTATCCAAAATATCCTGATGTATTTGTTTTTAACGGTTGTAGGTTGCTGAATCAAAGCAGCTGAAGTTCAATGTCATTTCTTTCAATAATTAATCTTTCTGGGCTTGGGGTACTGAATAAGCAAGGCCTGGATTCACCTGAACCCTGAGGATATGTTTTTCACCCAATGAACTTCAGATTTCAGCAGAAACTCATTCTCTTAAACAATGATGTTGATGGAGAGATGAGTATATCTAGATCTCTTCTTGTAACAGAAGTCCAGTATAATACCCTTGATCACATTCTACATATGACTACAGCAGTGTGAACCATATCCAGTTCCTTTCTATGTACCCACCATTTGTCATTTGTCAACGTGGAGCTGCTTTTTCTTTTCAGGGAGGCTGAGTTCTATGTTGACATGATTGAAGTCCCTCCATGGGGTTCTTCTGGGCCCCTTCACGGTAACTGCTTGTCCCTTCAGAATTGATGTTAACATTTTCTGGAGTTTTGACAATCTGCTTGCTAAGAATAGGATTCATTCATAAACAAATATTGATTTGTGTTTTTACATGAGATAGTGTGCCCCTGGTTTTATTTAATTAATTTTTGTTTTATTTGTGAGACAGAGACTGATAGCTTCCACCCGCTGGATCACTTCCCAAACGCCTGCAACATCTATGGCTGGGCCAGGCTGAAGCTAGGGGCCTGTAACTCAATCTAGATGTCTCACATGAGCGGCCAGGACCTGAATACTTGAACCAGCATCACCTGCTCTCCCACAGGTACACATTAGCAGCAAGCTGGAATCAAAAGAGGAGACAGGACTTGAACCCAGTCCTCCTGATAGGAGATCCCAAGTGGCCCTAGTCCCCTCACAAAATGCCCACCCCTGTGCCCTAGTTTTAGAAGAGTAGTGAACTTGTTCAGAGTTGAGGTAAAGTGGAGGAAGGGAGATGGATGAGAAGAAAATTAAAGGATATTGCAGTATAGCATTGGTGGGATCAAGAACCAACCTGAGAAAATTCATGTATCTCCCCTGGAATATGAAAACATGTCACCTCACTTTATTACTTCTCCCTGTTGAAACATTCAAATTTTAACACCAAACCTGTCTTGTACTTAGAATTATTATTAGTTTTGGCTGAATCTAATTGTGGCTTAAACAACCAAAGCTTTTATTGTTTCACTTAACAAGAGGACTAAAAGTAGATTCCAGACTATTTCAGTGCTTCCCTGTCATCAAAATGTGGTGCTTTCTGTCTTTCGAACCATCATCTTTTTTTTTTTAAGATTTATTTATTTATTTATGTGAAAGGTAGAGTTACAAAGAGAGAGAATGAGATCTTCCGTCTGCTGGTTCCTCCCCAGGTGGCCACAATGAAAGGAGCTGGGCTGATCTGAAGCCAGGAGCAGGAGCTTCATCTGGGTCTCCCACATGGGTGCAGGGGCCCAAGGACTTGGGGCATCTTCTGATGCTTTCCCAGGCACTTAGCAGGGAGCTGGATCACTGGTTTGGAAGTGGAGCAGCCGGGACTCAGACCCATGCCCATATGGGATGCTGGGATTGCAGGCAGTGGTTTTACCTGCTATGTGACAGTGCCAGGCTCCTTGATCCATCCTCTTTAACTAATCACTATTTATTCATATAATTGTCACCTCAGGTTACAAAGTCAGTTGCTAAATATCCAGGCATTGTAGCCATATCTAAGTCAAGAAGAAGAAATTGAGCTTTATTCTAATGCCTATCATTTATTTTTAAACCAGAGAACAGAAATTTTTTATAACCTTTCCCCATAGTAGACATCTTATTGACTCCTATTGACCAGTATTCTGTCACAAAATAACTCTTAGCTGCAAAGAATACTGAGAAAGAAGCTGGAAAAGAGAATGAGATTCTCTTTATTGACAATCACAATTCACCCCACTTTGATACAACAGAGGTATATTGCCACTTGGATACAATAGAGGTTTCATTTTCAGTGAATAAGGTGGAAACAGTGGCTGTTTTAGTGTCTAATTAATAGTGTCTGCCATATCTGGTCTCTCAAACATGCTGGTTCTGCATCCTTAGCAAGATGTAAAATTTTTCTAGCAATTTCACAGTACTGCAGCAGCTGCTTAGAAACCATCGTGTCTGGCGCCACGGCTCAATAGGGTAATCCTCTGCCTGCGGCGCCAGCACACTGGGTTCTAGTCCCGGTCAGGGCACCGGATTCTGTCCCGGTTGCCCCTCTTCCAGGCCAGCTCTCTGCTGTGGCCAGGGAGTGCAGTGGAGGATGGCCCAGGTGCTTGGGCCCTGCACCCCATGGGAGACCAGGAGAAGCACCTGGCTCCTGGCTTCAGATCAGCGCGGTGCCCCTGCCGCAGCGGCCATTGTGGGCTGAACCAACAGAAAAGGAAGACCTTTCTCTCTGTCTTTCTCTCTCTCACTGTCCACTCTGCCTGTCAAAAACAAACAAACAAACAAACAAAAAACATCGTATGCCGCTGTCCTCTTAAAGGTTGCTGATGGCTCTGAGAAAGCAGAACTCTGGGAGGGGAGACAGTGTTTATTAGTGGCAGAGGGAGGATTAGAAGGCAAATCTCTTTGCTCCTAGCAAATCTCTACTTTTTCTCACTATAATTCATGTAGCCTAAAGTTTATTGTTTTTAAAAGATTTATTTATTTGAAAGTCAGAGTTACACAGAGAGAGAAGGAGAGGCAGAGAGAGAGAGAGAGAGAGAGGTGTCTTCCATCCGTTGGTTCACTCCCCAGGTGGCCACACACAGCTGGAGCTGTGCTGATCCAAATCCAGGAGCCAGGAGTTTCTTCTGGGTCTCCCAAGAGGTGCAGGGGCCCAAGGACCTGGGCCATCTTCTACTGCTTTCCCAGGCCATAACAGAGAGCTGGATTGGAAGTGGAGCAGCCGGGATTCAAACCAGCATCCATATGGGGTGCCGGCACTGCAGGCGGCATCTTTACCCACTATGCCACAGCACAGGCCCCTAAAGTTTTCTTTAAAAGACTCTTTAGGAGGAAACTTTAATGAATGACAAAATCAATGAAATGAATAGCAGCAATAACAAAAGGAGCTGGACATAAAATAAGAGGAAAACTTTCCCGAATCAAATTAAATCTGCGAAATAGGTTGCATGAGGGGAGACATCTGTGTTTGTCCTTCTACATTGTAGTATTACTTGAACCTATTGCAAGTATATATTTTTTAATTGAATTTGTATTTTTTGGCAAAACTATTTGAATTTTTAAAAAACTACTTAATTATTTGAAAGGCAGAGTTACCGAGAGGCAGAGGCAGAAAGAGAGAGAGAGAGAGAAAGTCTTCCATGCGCTGGTTCACTCCCTCGGTGGCCACAATGGCCAGAGTTAAACCAAACGAAAGCCAGAAGCCAGGAGTTTCTTCTGGGTCTCCTACGTGGGTTCAGGGGCCCAAGCACTTGGGCCGTCTTCTAATGCTTTCCTAGGCCATAACAGAGAGCTAGACGGGAAGTGGAGCAGCTGGGATTCGAACCGGCACCCATATGGGATACTGGCACTGCAGGCAGCAGCTTTACCTGCTATACCACAGTGTTGGCCCCTCCAATTTTCTAATAATGTGCTTATCCTACCATGATTTAGTACTTTTCAGTTTTAGGGTTTTTTTCTATTAAAAATAAAGAGTTCACTCTTTTACCATCACTGTCTCTGATACATATTACTAAGCACATACCAACTTTTCATTCCTTCCTCAAAATCTAATTATCAGACTTTTTGTTAAATTCCCATTTAATTCCTACTTAATTATTCCTTTTTTAAATGTCTTAGTACACTATCTTACGTATTTTGTCAGTTTCCTAACTTTCTTGGGTATATGTTTTCATGAAGCAGTACACGTGTGTTCTCTGATACAGAGCTATTAATAGTTATGGGGCATCTCCCACGTACATGCTCCTGTCCTATCTGCCCTGTGGCTAAGTTCTGCATGATCACATCAGTCCTCTTCGCACTTACGAGGCCTTCTATGATGTGAATATTTGGTTGTCATCTTTTCACCATTTTAACAAAATACCCAAAGCAGGCTAATTTATAAAAAAAAAAAAAAAAGAGGTTTATCTTGGCCCATAGTTCTGAAGGCCAGGATTTGTTTGTTCAGCAGGCCCTGTTTGTTCAGCCTCTGATGATGGATTCTTTCTGGCAGTATCCCTAGATAGCACAGGGCATCACATGGCAAGAGACAGGAACACACATATCTGACTATATCTTTACTGTGTCTCTTTTTTTTAATATTTATTTTATTTATTTGAAAGGCAGAATTACAGAGAGGAGGGGAGAGACAGAGTGAGAGATCTTCCATTTGCTGGCTCAGTCCTCAAATGGTCTCAACAACCAGGGCTAAGCCAGGCCTAAGCCAGGAGCCAGGAGCTTCTTCTGGGTTTCCCGCATGGGTGCAGGGGCCCAAGCACCTGGGACATACTCTGCTGCTTTCCCAGGTGCTTTAACACAGAGCTGGATCAGAAGTGGAACAGCTGAGACTTGAACTGGTGCCCATATGGCATGCTGGCGCTGCAGGCAGCAGCTTAACCCACTACACCACAGCACCAGCCCCTGACTATAGCTTTTTAAAAACAATTGTATGTATGTATGTGTTTACTTATGAAGGCAGAGAGAGAAGGGCAGAGAGAGAGAGAGAGGGACACACACACACACACACACACTTCCATCTGTTCACTGCTCAAATGGTCACAAAAAGCCGGGGCTGGGCCAGGTTGAAGCTAGGAGATGAGAACTCCATCTGGGTCTCCCACATGAATAATGAGAACTCGGGTTCTTGATCCATCATCCACTGCTTCCCAGGTGTGTTAGCAGGGAGGTGGATTGGAAGTAGAGTAGCTAGGATTCAAACTAGTAGCTCTGATAGGGGATGTGGGCCTCCCAAGCAGCAATTTAACCTGCTGTACCACAATGCCTACCCCTTGACTATGTCCATTTCTGTATTTCTTATAAAGCCACTAGGATTCAGTCTTGGGGACTCCTTTCCAATGCCTATTCCAAATTAATCACTTCCCATGAGTCCCACCTCTAAACATTGTACTTGGACTTAGTGCCATTAACATGAAACTTTGGAGATAACTCTTGAGTTCAAGAGGATAAAAGTTCAAACTATAGTGGTATTGGTATTTTTGGCCTTTCAGATGGATCCAAGTAACATTTTGCCACAAAGTGACCTTTAATCTACCTGTTGGTGCAGATTTCTGAAACCTGAAACCACAAGACAAACCCTTTCTGATGACTTACTCTCTTCCCCAGCTCTACCTCCCCAGGCTCTGTACTTTCCTGGAAAGAAGAGGAAATGACTGAATCCCAGGTAAATATGAAATAGTCTTTGGTTCTTATCTTATTCTATTATGCAACTTCAGGGCACTGCCGTGATCCATACAGTAATTAGACAGGCAGAGGAAGTAGAATTGGAAGATTAAAAAGTAGGAAGGAGTTAAAATGTAGTTTATGAAATACATCCATTTGGAGAAACTAAAATTGGACTTCAAATTTGAATTTCATTTTTTATGTAAGAAATTTATAGTTTTCATTGTATTTCAGTTTAAAAATAAACATTTTCTATCAGGAATAAGCTTATCATTGGCATCTAAAACAATTGAAATATTACAATGTAACTTCTTATAATTGTAAACCTGGATTTTTTTGTTGATTTCTTTTCATTAAGGATAAAACAAAGACTATCTGTCGAAATAGCCTAACATTGGAAAGAATGCAAATTAACATCAATAGAAAATTATCCCTTTTTTTAAAAAAATAATTATTTGAAAGGCAATTACAGAGAGGTAGAGAGAGAGAGAGAGAGAGAGAGAGAGAGAGAGGTAGAGGTCTTCCATCCACTGGTTCATGCCCCAAATGGCTGCAAGGCCAGGGATGGGCCAAGCCTGGGTCAAGCCAAAGCCCTGAGCCCACAGCTTCTTCTGGCTCACCCACGTGGGTATGGCAGGGGCCCAAGCACTTGGGCCATCTTCTGCTGCTTTCCCAGTCACATTAACAGGGAGCTGTATAGGAAGTGGAGCAGCTAGGACATGAACTGGCACTCATATGGGATGCCAGCATTGCAGGTGGTGACTCTACCTGCTACACCACAACACTAGTCCTTGACACTTTGCTGTTGTCTTCTGGATATGCTTGTTTCAAATACCATGATCTTCAGTGAGAAAGAATTCTGAGTTCCCATCAGTACAACAGCTCTATCTTAATTCTTTTTTTTTTTTTTTGGACAGGCAGAGTGGACAGTGAGAGAGAGAGAGAGAGAGAGAGAGAAAGGTCTTCCTTTGCCGTTGGTTCACCCTCCAATGGCCGCCGCGGCCGGTGCCCTGTGGCCGGTGCACCGCGCTGATCCGATGGCAGGAGCCAGGTACTTATCCTGGTCTCCCATGGGGTGCAGGGCCCAAGCACCTGGGCCATTCTCTACTGCACTCCCTAGCCACAGCAGAGAGCTGACCTGGAAGAGGGGCAACCGGGACAGAATCCGGCGCCCCGACTGGGACTAGAACCCGGTGTGCCGGCGCCACAAGGCGGAGGATTAGCCTAGTGAGCCGCGGCGCCAACGAATTCTTTTTCTTAATGAGTGTTTATCCTCTTAGGACAGGGATGGGGAAACTTTTTTTTATAAGCAGAGAGAGGGGCTGGCACTGTGGCGCAGCAGGTTAACACCCTGACCTGAAGCGCCAGCATCCCATATGGGCACCAGTTCGAGACCTGGCTGCTCCACTTCCAATCCAGCTCTCTGCTATGGCCTGGGAAAGCAGTAGAAGATGGCCCAAGTCCTTGGGCCCCTTCACCCACGTGGGAGACCTGAAAGAAGCTCCTGGCTCCTGGCTTTGGATCAGCGCAGCTCCGGCCGTTGCGGCCAATTGGGGAGTGAACCATCGGATGGAAGACCTCTCTCTCTGCCTCTCCTCTCTCTGTGTAACTCTGACTTTCAAATAAATAAATAAATCTTTAAAAAAAAGAAGCAGAGATTTGGATCTTTATAACATAATTCATGGACCATATAAAATTATCATCTTAAAAATTAGCCTGCTACCGATTTATTGAATTTTGAGTCCTGCCTTTGGTTACCTTGGTAGGGCCAGACCAAATGATTTTGCGGGCTTTATATGGTCTGTGAGCCAGATGTTTTCCACCTGTTTTAGGACCTAAAAATAAATTTTTAAAAATATTAGCTCTGAGTTATCTCTTAGAATCCTTCTATCTCATCTAATCTTCAGTAGAAATTGCCTAAAAGGTAGGAGTTATGAATTGCTCCCCCCCTTTTTTTTCTGTTTTGTTGAACTTTTTTTTTCTCGTGTTCATATTCTTTGGGCCATTTCAGTTTTGAACTAGAAAAGGTGCATTAGATTTATGTATTCAGTTTACACGGCTCCTTTCAGAAACTCATCCTATAGCTTTCTTCATGTTATTTTTTCATAGTTGCAGTTATAATAATATTTCTTATCATTGAAAAATAAATCTTTTTATCAGGGCATCTTTTCTATCTGTGGCCCTCGTTTTTAAGTATACATAAGCTCCTCAAGCAGTCTGATCCCATTTTTCATGGCTGCAGGCACATATTATAAAGGTTAATCAGCAAATCTTTATTTTCAACAGATTGCTCTTGATCTCATGACTATGTGTCCAGCTGCTAAATCAGTGAATATCTCCAACTGGGTGACCTACTATACCTCATTTCACCTTTTATTCTCTTCTTGTTTTGGCCTCCATCCAAATCCTTCTTCAAATTTTTCCTGCCTTTGAAATCTAATGAGGCTCCAAATCAATTAACTTGAATATAATTTTATTTTTCCATTTCTTTTACACTCAGTATAAATTGATACCCAAGATCTTTTCTTTATTTCATGATAGTTATTCAAGATATGTGCTTTCTGAATCAGTGAATGAACATAAACTGACAGGGTGTTGCTAATATGGGGGGGGGGGTTTCTTTCAGAAAATAATAAAGCCAGGTAAAGTTATTTTTAATATCTCCCTCAAATTCTATCAGAACAAGGTTCAACACGTTGTGTCCACATCACCCAAAATGAATGGCTTCAGATTGAGTAGGAGTGTGTTGTTACAGGGAACAGTGACATTCAAAGATGTGGCTATTGACTTCACCCAGGAGGAATGGAAGCAGCTGGATCCCACTCAGAGGAATCTCTACCGGAACGTGATGCTAGAGAACTATAACAACTTAATCACAGTGGGTAAGAGTGGTTTACTGTGTAACTCGAATTCTGTGTATAAAGTATCTCCTCCCTCACCCAGTGTTCTCAAAGCAATGGCACTTTTAACCGTTAGAGTGAGCTTGGCTTTGAGAACCCTGTGTTTGTGTCTGTCCGTGCTGCAGCTTTCAGAGTGAAAGGCCATCCTTAACTGGGTTTCAGGAAGCAGCATTCCCAGAAGCCACGTCTTCTTGTCCTTCGGAAAGCCCAGCTTCCCTGGGCTGGCTCGTTTCTTGGCTGCTTCTTTGTTTTTTTGTTTTTTGTTTTTTTTTTTTTTTACAGGCAGAGTGGACAGTGAGAGAGAGAGACAGAGAGAGAAAGGTCTTCCTTTGCCATTGGTTCACCCTCCAATGGCCGCCGCTGCAGCCGGCGCACCGCGCTGATCCGATGGCAGGAGCCAGGATCCAGGTGCTTTTCCTGGTCTCCCATGGGGTGCAGGGCCCAAGCACTTGGGCCATCCTCCACTGCACTCCCTGGCCACAGCAAAGAGCTGGCCTGGAAGAGGGGCAACCGGGACAGAATCCGGCGCCCCGACCGGGACTAGAACCCGGTGTGCCGGCGCCGCAAGGTGGAGGATTAGTCTATTGAGCCACGGCGCCGGCTGCTTCTTTGTTTTTAGTATCTATGCCCACACGGATGCCATTTCCTTTTGACAGGCTACCCATTCACCAAACCTGATGTGATTTTCAAGTTGGAACAAGAAGAAGAACCATGGGTGGCAGAGGAAGAGGCACTAAGGAGACACTGTCCAGGTTAGTGAGGCGGGGTCAGTACCATAACAGTGGTTAATCAATGAAATGTTCTAAAAGCACATTTAAAAAAAATTCTATAGACTATTTGATTGAACTCTTAATAAACCTAAGGTGTCATTTCTAAATACCATTCCTAACTTCCTCAGGACTTAGAGTTCTGGCCTTCTTACTTGTATGTTAGGTACCAACCTTTCCGAATTAACTTTCAACCTTACTTTGATTATTATTCTGGTACTAGCATCTTCAGTATCTTTGCTGATTTTTACATATATAAAATAATCCTTTTCTTTTGCATACAGAAGTTAACAGGTTTGCAGTTGTACAAATAAACCTGTTGACATTATAGTCCTTTCATTCTCTTCTTCCTTCCATTCTAAACCACTTAGCATCATATCTATACCCATATTATACTTTCCACTGCATTTTTAGCTTTTCTTCACATACTTTAGTAATGATTACCACCCTTTTACTTAAAGTTTTAAAGTCGGTGCTGATTTTGTTAGCATCTGTCTTCTGCTATATTTATTATGTATGTGTGCATAGACATATGTATATGCCTGTGATATGTGTATATTACATATGATTATACATATACATATATGAGGGTACTTAAAATTCATGAAAATGGAATTACAAGATTTTTTAAAAAGACTTATTTATTATTTATTTTAAAGGCAGAGTTACAGTGAGAGGGAGGGAGAGATAGACAGAAAGAATCTTCCATCTGCTGGTTCACTCCCCAAATGGCTGCAACAGTTGGGGCTGTGTCATACTGAAGCTAGGAGCCTGGAGCTTCTTCTGGGTCTCCCAGAAAGGTGCAGAGGCTCAAACACTTGGGCCATCTTCCACCGCCTTCTCAGACACATTAGGAAGGAGCTGGATTGGAAGTAGAGCAGCTGGTCTCGAACTGGCACCCGTGATGGCATCACTGGCAGCAGCTTAACCTGGTATGCCATGATACTGGCCCCAAGATGTTTATTTGTATGAATAAAAATTTTGAAATCCATGCTTAATTTTTTATATATGCATTTTCCATTTTGGAAGGTGTCTTGTATACATGGTTTGTCCTATATTGGTATTACTTTCTTAGGAAGATGATTTGCATGTGTTTCTAGTGAGTACTAAGAGGCACTATCAATTGAGAGCCTTCTTTGAAGATTCTGGCATTTTGTGGGAGCTTCAGTTGAGTTTTTCTTATTACTGGCCCAAAGCTTATACTTCCATTAGCAGGGCTTTTGTTTGCCAGGACACTCACTTCAGACCCATCCTCCAGCTTATTTCTAACTGTCTCTCCTAACTCTAGTTTTAGCTAGTAGTGTTTTTTTTGTTCATTTTCTTCTGTGAGATTTATGCTACCTCTCGCAGTCTGGTGATGCACCAGGATGTCCATTTTATCCATAATATTGTTTTACAATGTAAAGAAACTGTCCCAAAATTCTAATTGTAAAAATATTTTTGTTTTTAGAAGTCTGCTTATATAGGCCGGTGCCGCAGCTCACTAGGCTAATCCTCCGCCTGCGGCGCCGGCACACCGGGTTCTAGTCCCGGTCGGGGCACCGCATCCTGTCCCGGTTGCCCCTCTTCCAGGCCAGCTCTCTGCTGTGGCCAGGGAGTGCAGTGGAGGATGGCCCACGTACTTGGGCCCTGCACCCCATGGGAGACCAGGAAAAGCACCTGGCTCCTGGCTCCTGCCATCGGATCAGCGCGGTGCGCCGGCCGCGGTGGCCATTGGAGGGTGAACCAACGGCAAAGGAAGACCTTTCTCTCTGTCTCTCTCTCTCACTGTCCACTCTGCCTGTCAAAAAAAAAAAAGTCTGCTTATATAGTATTGTTCATTTTAGTGGTAGTTTTATTTTTCCCTTCTAATTATTTGCTTGGCTTTACTAAGTTTTTTTTTTTTTTATCCCTTTCTGTTTTCTTGTTTCTTCCTCATGCATTTATATTTTGAGCTCTTGATTCATAGGTACTTTTTTCATTAAAATTTTTTTAACTTAAGGTAACACATTTAGTCAAGATTATCATCTATGTTAAAAATTTTAGTTTGTATTTTTGTGTATCATGTTTCTTTTTCTTTTGTGATAGTTTTCTATAGATTTGATTGCAGCTCATTCTATTTTTGATCAATAATAGTTTTTCTTTGCCTACTACTACAAGAAAGATAATGTTGGAGAAGGAAAATGAGTGCTCTGATCTAGTACTGGGGTCAGCAAATTATGCCATAGAGGCCTGCCACTGGTTTTGTAAAGTTTTATTGGAACACAGCTACACTCAATCATTTCTGTCTTTTATATATAACTGCTTTTACATTATAATACCAAAGTTAAATGGTTTTGACAAAGACCATATGGCTCACAAATCCTAAAATATTTACTATCTGATATTTTTAAGAAAAGTTTTTCAACCCTGAATTTATAGAAAGGCATCCCTACTTCATGCTGAAGTCCTGTATTCTTCATGTGTTTAAGTAAGTTTAGGCTTTATTTCCTGCAGCTACAAGTCTGAATCTTACATTCCCTCTAAGATAAATCAACTCTGAATCTTACACCTGTACCCTAACAGACTTCTTAAAAACATAGTATGTCAGAATGTGTTCTTGTTATCTTGGCTTCTTTGATGTATCTCATCATGAATTTACACTCTCAAATCTCAATATTGTACTTACACACTGATTGGTTTGTTACTTCTGACCTTCAAGATGTGGTATTTATTTTGACACTCAACTGCTTTTGTTGGTCCAGTATCAGCATGAACTGTCTTCTTGGAATCCTTCTTCCCCATTTCATTCTCCACTATATGTGTCAATACCAACCCATTTATTATAATTGGAGTTACACCTGCCTTCTTGGATCATACTCCTTACTTGTAGAGAGGAAAATGTACTAGCAACTTTTTGTATTCCACCATCTTGAAATAGAGAGCCTTTCCTATCATATTTGCATTTTGGTCTTGCCCTTGGAATTCCCTTTCTCTTCTGCTTGGATAATACCATGATGATCTTACCTTCTCCCTCAACATCTTTTGCTTAATTCTGCTTCCCGCTTCCCCTGTAACTGAGGTGACCTAAGAGCTTCACATTCTGCTTTCTTTTCTACATTTATAACCTGCAAACAAATTTCTACCTTTACGGGACAACTTCACGGGACGTTTTCCCTCACTTCATTCTCCGTCTGGCAGATAGGGAGAAAACATCTCCGTTTGCCATGGGAGGTAAGCAGCACCAGAGGACGGTCTTTCCCTTCAGTATGTAGACTTTATTTTTCCTACACTACATTTGAGCTAGTTTCTTTTCTTTTCTTTTCTTTTCTTTTTTTTTTTTTTTTTCCGGCAGAGTTAGACAGTGAGAGAGAGAGAGAGAGAGAGAAAGAGGTCTTCCTTCTGTTGATTTCACCCCCTAAATGGTCGCTACAGCTGGCACATTTCGCCGATCCAAAGCCAGGAGGCCAGGTGCTTCCTCCTGGTCTCCCATGGGGTGCAGGGCCCAAGCACTTGGGCCATCCTCCACTGCACTCCCGGGCCACAGCAGAGAGCTGGCCTGGAAGAGGGGCAACCGGGACAGAATCATGCGCTCCAACTGGGACTAGAACCCGGGGTGCCAGCGCCACAGGTGGAGGATTAGCCAAGTGAGCTGCGGCGACAGCTGAGCTAGTTTCTTTTCATTGTACTTCTGCGAGTGGTGTCCCTGAATGCAGAGCTTCTCCGTCTTCCTTTCTTTAGAAGCAGAGAATGGTATCCTATCCTCGCTAGGGTAGAGGAGTGATAGGCACCTCAGTGTACAATGCAGCCATCTGTTTGCCATGTAGGTCCAATCAGTCCTCTTGTTGTTAGCCCCTCAATTCATGCCCATCTTTCATGGCATATGCTTTCTCTTATTCTTGAACCTTTCTTTAGTTATATTGTAGGAATTGATTTTACCCTTTGACCTCTTCCTCGGAGGCACCTGGGTTTCATCTTTCTAAATTCTTCTGTCAGGATACTCCTTTTTCTATTTGCTAAAATTATCTTTGTGTGTCATCCATTGTTCTCTCTTGTGGTCTTTGTTGATAACATTCTGTTTATCTCATTTTAGTGTGGCTTTGGGTAGAATCAAGGATATACCCATATATTTACTATACCATATTTAACCTCAATTTTCAGTTTTCCTTTTCTGCTCATTGTATTTCTCCCTATTCAGTCAGCTTAGGTGGGGTCCTCCAGTTTTATGTGCCAATCCTTTCATCAAATAACTACCTTCCCATAGTTTGTTCTCATCATATTGATTAATACAGTGCCTAATACAACCAACAGTAAAAAAAGGAAGACCTTTCTCTCTGTCTCTCTCTCTCACTGTCCACTCTGCCTGTCAAAAAAAATTATGTATTGGGGTCTGTGCTATGGCATAGTGGTGCCAGCATCCCATATGGGTGCCAATTCAGGTCCTGGCTGTTCCACTTCCGACTGAGGTCACTGCTAATGCACCTGGTAAAGCAGCAGAAGATGGCCCATGTACTTGGGCCCCTGTATCAACATGGGATACCCCAGAAGAAGCTGCTGGCTCCTGCCCAGCTAAACCATTGCAGCCATTTGGGAAGTGAACCAGCAGGTGGAAGATCTGTCTCTCCTTCTCTTTCTCTCTCTGTAACTCTGCCTTTCAAACAAATAAATCTTTAAAAAATATATTTATGTATTTTGCCTGAAGGGCAGAGAAAGAGATCTTCCGTCTGCTGGTTCACTTCTCAAATGCTTGCAGCAGCTGGGGCTGGGCCAGAGTGAAGCCAGGAGCTCAAACTGTCTCCCACATGGGTAGCAAAGACTCAATCACTTGGGGCATCACCTATTGCCTCCCAGGGTGTGCATCATATAGAAGCTGGAATTAGAAGCAGAGCCAGGACTCGAACCCAGGCACTTGGATGTGGGCATCCTAAGCAGCGCCTTAACTACTATGCTTAACAGCCATCCCTGAAACCACTTTAAATGGATAGATTAACTTGTAATTAATGTTACCTTTATGCTAGTGAGTACTCATTTCCAAGCATTTGTTATGCCTTTTGCCTTGGTTTCCTAGGGTTGATGCAACAAAGTACTACAAACTGGGTGATGAATAATAACAGAAATTTAGTGTCAAAGCAGGGTGGGGGGATGAAGGAAGGAAGGCAGGAAGGCAGGGAGGGAGGGAGGGAGGCAAGGAGGGAGGGAGGCAAGGTGGGAGGGAGGCAAGGAGGGAGGGAGGGAGGAAAAATCAGGAGGGATGAGGGAACAAACGGGAAGGAACTAATTAATTCTCATAGTCTGGAGTCTGGAAGTCTAAAATCAGGGTGTCACTAGGGCCATGCTTCCTCTGAAACCTTCCTCTGAAGCATCACTCCTTGCCTGCCTTGGCATCTGGTACTTCCAGGACTGCTTTGGTTTGCGGCAGTCTAACTCCAATCTGTGTTTCCACCTTCACATGGCATTCTGCATCTCTCTCTTCACTTGAAATAAGAATGTCGGTCATATTTGATTACCCTATTTCAGTATGACCATACTTTAACTAATTACATCTGGTGTGACCAAATAATGTCTCATTCTGAGGTTCTGGGAGTTAGGACTTCACCATGTCTTTTTTGGGGGGCAGACAATTCAACCTATAAGATCTTTCCATTTGTTCAAGTCTGTTTTCTTTTTATGGCTTTTGGAAATTTATTATTAATTTTTCATAGATTTTTTCCATATTTTGCCATTGTAAATGTAATTTTTTAAAACGAGGATTTCTAAGTAGTTATTTGTTTGTATGGTTATTGAACTTGAATGTTAATTTGTATGTAGTGAACCTAGTGAATTATTTTATTTTTTAAAAAGATTTATTTATGGGGCCGGCACTGTGGCACACTAGGTTAGTCCTCTGCCTGCGGTGCCGGCATCCCATATGGTCACCAGTTCTAGTCCCGGTTGTTCCTCTTCCAGTCCAGCTCTCTGCTATGGCCTGGGATAGCAGTGGAGGATGGCCCAAGTCCTTGGGCACCTGCACCTGCATGGGAGACCAGGAGGAAGTACCTGGCTCCTGGCTCGGATCGGCGCAGCTCCAGCCATTGCAGCCATTTGGAGAGTGAACCAAAGGAAGGAGGACCTTTCTCTCTGTTTCTCTCTCACACTGTCTGTAACTCTGTCAAATAAATAAAAAAAAAAATCTTCAAAGAAAAAGATTTATTTATTTATTTGAAAGTCAGAGAGAGAAGGAGAGGCAGAGAAAGAGAGAGAGAGGTCTTCCATCCACTGGTTCATTCCCCAGTTGGCCACAATGGCCAGAGTTGCACCAATCCAAACCAGGAGCCAGGAGCTTCTTCCAAGTCTCCCATGCAGGACTTGGGCCATCTTGTACTGCTTTCCCAGGCCACAACAGAATGCTGGATTGGAAGTGAAGCAGCCAGGACTGGAACTAACACCCATATGGGGTGCCGCCACTGCAGGTGGCTGCTTTACCCGCTACACCACAGCGCTGGTCCTAGTGAATTACTTTTTATAATTTTTCAGGTGACTTGATTTTTCAGGTAAACAGTTTCATTGTTGTCAAATAGTATTAATTTGCTTTTGCTTTCCAAATTTTTATACCACTGATTTCTTTCTATTTATTACAATAATGGTGGTGATAGTACACTTTTCTTATTCCTGACTTTAACGTGACAACTTCTGGATTTTCCTTATTAAGTATTGTGCCGATGTTTGGATTGTACTGTACTTTTTTGTCAAGTACCTATTTCTAGTTTTAAAAAATTTTCATTTTTTTGACCTATTAACAGATTTACTTATAATGGTAGATGTTTTAATACTTAAAATTATTTATGGTCTTGCCGGCGCCGCGGCTCACTAGGCTAATCCTCCGCCTAGCGGCGCCAGCACACCGGGTTCTAGTCCCGGTCGGGGCGCCGGATTCTGTCCCGGTTGCCCCTCTTCCAGGCCAGCTCTCTGCTGTGGCCAGGGAGTGTAGTGGAGAATGGCCTAGGTGCTTGGGCCCTGCACCCCATGGGAGACCAGGAAAAGCACCTGGCTCCTGGCTCCTGCCATCGGATCAGCGTGGTGCACCGGCCGCAGTGCGCCGGCCGCGGTGGCCATTGGAGGGTGAACCAACGGCAAAGGAAGACCTTTCTCTCTGTCTCTCTCTCTCACTGTCCACTCTGCCTGTCAAAAAAAAAAAAATATATTTATGGTCTTGAAAACTACTCATTAGGTATTTTATATTTAATGTGCTTTTGGGAAACTTTTTTTCTTCTGGATCACTTTAACATTTTACATACAATTTTTACATTAGCTTTCATAAATGAAGTTGGCATATAATTTGCTTTTTTTGGTGTATCATTTTTGTCATGTCTTTTCATTAATATTATGTTTCACAAAATATTAGAAATGTTACTTTGAAACATTTGGCACAGCATTAGAGTTGTCAATTAAATCATCATTAGAATTCCTGTGTGAATCTCTATGGGTCTTTCTGTTTTTAGGTAGTTGTTTTTCCTACTTTTCTACTCATTTCATGGAAATTGGCCTAAAAGTATCCTAGATCTTCTAGAGTCAGTTTTGGTAATTTACATTTTCCAGAAAGTATTCACATCAAAACTTATAAAATTATTTCAATTGAGTACTGCAAGTGATCTTCTGATATTTAGCTTCCTGTTTTTGTTTTTTACTGTATCACTTTTTTCTTACTTTATTTGTACACTCTGCACCTCCCTTTTATTTACCTTTTAGGATGGTTTCTTTGAGACCCTATTTAAAAACAAAGCTATCTGTATATTTCCTTTTCAGGGATTTTCTTCTCAAGAAATAGGGGATAAACGCTTGAGATTTGCTTAATATTGAGAAATGAAGCATTAAACCAAAATTCCCATAATAGCATATGTTAAAATTTTTTTGCTATTACAGTGTTGTAAAATATTCATGAGTGTTGTCTATTTGCAATCTATTTTAGGAGACATATGGGGAATTGATGAGCATCAGAAAAACCAGGACAGACTTTTGAGACAAGTTTTAAAGAAAACACTGACTGAAGAAAAAGTCAATGAATGTTCTAAGAAATTTGCAAATGCATTTCCTCGGAACTCAGATTTTATTTCTTCCAGACATAAGCTCTATGAATATGACTTATTTGGAAAGTGTTTAGAACATAATTTTTACTGTCACGATAATGTGAAATGCCTTATAAAAAAGGAACATTGTGAATATAATGAAGCTGTGAAATCATATGGTTATGGTTCATCCCATCTTGGAGTAACCCCCTTTAAGTGTAATCATTGTGGGAAAGGCTTCAGTCAAACATTGGACCTCATCAGACACCTGAGAATTCATACCGGAGAGAAGCTTTATGAATGTAATGAATGTAGGAAAACCTTCAGCCACAAGGAAAAACTCATTAAACATCATAAAACCCACAGCAGGGAGCTTTCTTATGAATGTAATGAATGTGGAAAAACTTTCATTAAAATGTCAAACCTCATTAGACATCAAAGAATTCATACCGGAGAGAAACCCTATGCATGTAAGGAATGTGGGAAATCCTTCAGCCAGAAGTCAAATCTCATCGATCATGAAAAAATTCATACTGGAGAGAAGCCTTATGAATGTAATGAGTGTGGAAAAGCCTTCAGCCAGAAACAGAGCCTCATTGCACATCAGAAAGTTCACACTGGGGAGAAACCGTATGCATGTAATGAATGTGGCAAAGCCTTCCCCCGAATTGCATCCCTTGCTCTTCATATGAGAAGTCATACAGGAGAAAAACCTTATAAATGTGATAAATGTGGGAAAGCCTTCTCTCAGTTTTCCATGCTTATTATACATGTAAGAATTCATACAGGCGAGAAACCTTACGAATGTAATGAGTGTGGGAAAGCCTTCTCTCAAAGCTCAGCCCTTACTGTACATATGAGAAGTCACACGGGTGAGAAACCCTATGAATGTAAGGAATGTAAAAAAGCCTTCAGCCACAAGAAGAACTTCATTACACACCAGAAAATTCATACTAGAGAGAAACCTTATGAATGTAATGAATGTGGGAAAGCTTTCATTCAGATGTCAAATCTTGTTAGACACCACAGGATTCATACTGGAGAAAAACCCTATATATGTAAGGAATGTGGCAAAGCATTTAGCCAGAAATCAAATCTCATTGCTCATGAAAAAATTCATTCTGGAGAGAAACCTTATGAATGTAATGAATGCGGTAAAGCCTTCAGCCAAAAGCAGAACTTTATTACACATCAGAAAGTTCATACTGGAGAGAAACCTTATGATTGCAATAAATGTGGTAAAGCCTTCTCCCAGATTGCATCCCTTACACTTCATTTGAGAAGTCACACAGGGGAAAAGCCTTATGAATGTGATAAATGCGGGAAAGCCTTTTCCCAGTGCTCACTGCTAAATTTACACATGAGAAGTCATACAGGTGAGAAGCCTTATGTGTGTAATGAATGTGGGAAAGCCTTCTCTCAACGAACTTCCCTCATTGTGCATATGAGAGGCCACACAGGTGAGAAACCTTATGAGTGTAATAAATGTGGAAAAGCCTTCTCTCAGAGCTCATCCCTCACTATACATATACGAGGACATACAGGTGAGAAACCCTTTGACTGTAGCAAATGTGGAAAAGCCTTCTCTCAGATTTCATCCCTTACTCTTCATATGAGGAAACATACAGGTGAGAAGCCCTATCACTGTAATGAGTGCGGCAAAGCTTTTAGCCAAAAGTCACACCTTGTTAGACATCAGAGAATTCATACTCATTAGAAGCCCTACAAATATCATAAAAATGAGAAAGCTTTCAGAAGGAATGAACATCTCATTGCACATTACATGATAGGTTCTAGAGCAGAAAACTATGAATATGGGAAAGCCTTTTGAAGAAATCACAAATTTAGGAAACACTAGAAAAGTCTTGCCAAAGTAACAATGTGTTTAATGAGAAAGCTGATCAAAAACATTCAGCAGAGATCTTATTTGTTTATAATGCATAATCAGCATTCTCATTAAAACTTGAAACAAGATGTCTGCTATCAACATATTTGAGTTCCTAGCCAATGTATTAAGAAAAAAGATTGAAGAAATTATAAAATGACATGTATATGAGAAATAGTTAATTAGAAAAAAAGTGTTGATAAAATACCTAAGAATAAACACAATTAATTTTTATATGTATAAAGTTATAAAATGTTAATGGCACAAAAGAACACCTTAAAATGGAAAAAGATGACATCACATCTGAAAAGACTTGACATTATAAAAATATGACTTCTCTCCCAACTGAGTTTAATGTACTTCCACCACTTATATTTTAAGGAATTTTAGAAACTGATTCAAAATTTTATATGGGAAGGTAAAGGACCATAAATAGTTGAAACCTGTTTGACAAAACAAAACAAATAGAGAAGACATACTCAACTACAGGTCATCACATATTATTTAAAGCTGTTGTCATTTAAACTGGGTAATTGAGTGAATAAATAAATGAATCAGTGGCAACAACTGAGGATTGCTACAAAAATTCAAGAAGATACGGGCATTCTATGGAAGATGGTGCTATTGACATCAGTGGGGAAAAGATTACTCATTCAGTAAATGGAAGAGTCATATGAGCAAAAATGTTAGGTCTCTACCTTATACCATATATAAAGATAAAATCTAAAAGATTGAAGACCAGAATATAAAAATAAATTCTAAAATTATAATAGACTATATTTATTACTTTTAAGTAATAGAATTTCTTAAAATGCATATAAATATGGAATAATCAATTCTATTTTGGTGTATTGGCCTCAGAAGCACCCACAAATGTGCACAGAAAGTTATCTTTAATTATGTTTATTGCATCATGGTTTGTATGCTCTAAATTGGATGTAACACAAATTTCGATAAATAGAGGGGTAGATCAGTACAATGTGATTTTTCTGTGAAAGAATACAGTATTTAGATAGATTAAAAGGTAACAAAATTACATGGATCAGTTATAATGCTAAGGTAAAAGCAAAATGCACAATGAAATATACAACATTTGTATAATTTAATAAAATGGCACAAAGAGCAGTACTGTGTATTGATTTTGGGTCCGTATATGACATTGGTTGCCTTTTGGAATGTGGAAAGTTTTGGCAGGAGTTGTTACATTTATCTATAATATTTCTTCAATAAAAGAAGAAACAAATATGGTCACAAATCTGATTGTCAAAATTAACTATGGGTTTTAAACTCTTGCTCTTTGTTTCCTAATTTCTCTAAAGAAGACTTAGTTGAGTCAGAGAAACATGGGCTATAGAAACAATTTATTTATTTTTTTGACAGGCAGAGTTAGTGAGAGCAAGAGACAGAGAGAAAGGTCTTCCTTCCGTTGGTTCACCCCCTAAATGGCTGCTACAGCCGGCGTGCTGCGCCAATCCGAAGCCAGGAACCAGGTGCTTCCTCCTGGTCTCCCATGGGGTGCAGGGCCCAAGCACTTGGGCCATCCTCCACTGCACTCCCTGGCCACAGCAGAGAGCTGGACTGGAAGAGGAGCAACCGGGACTAGAACTCGGAGTACTGGCGCCGCAGACAGAGGATTAGCTTAGTGAGCCACGGTGCCGGCCAGAAATAATTTTAAAATGGGTTCTTATTCTTGATCAGACACTAACTTTACTATCTTAATGTGAAATGCAAAGAAACAAAGGGAGAGATTGAAAGAGATCTCCTATCTGTTGGTTCACTCTTCAAATGCCTGCAACAGTCATGGCTGGGCCAAAGCCAAAGCCAGGATCAAGGAGCTCACTTTGCATCTGCCACAGGGGTGGCACTACTTAAGCCATTGCCTGCTGCCTCTTCCATCTGCTAGCTCACTGTCCAAATGCCCACAACAGGCAGGGATACATCAGGCTGAGGCCAGGAGCTAGGAACTTCATCCAGGTCTCCCTCATGGGCAGCAAGAACCCAAGTACTTGGGCCATCTTCTGCTGGCTTTCAGGCACTCTGATCCAGGATGGTGGTGACTCCTCACAGAGCAACCCTTAACCTGATGTGCCACAATGCCCACCCTTAAATTTTATCTTAAGTTCTAATTGTAGTTGAAAGCAGTGAATATGTCAAAGAAAAACTGTTATTCTTCATTTGGAAAGAGAAACCCACCTACATCTTTTTTTTTTTTTTATAATGAGGGAAAGAGATAATTCATGCCTACATAAAATGATTCATGTACTTAATGTGTCAAGTAAGCATATTTACCACTGTCAGAGCAGGACCAATTTCATTACCTCTCAGTGATTTTCTGTGTGCCAGGTAAGGGTATGTGAAAAGTTTCTGTACCTGTCAGAAGAAAGCTGGGCATTCGGTTTCTGTTTTAATTTAGACACTTGGGGCCAGTGCCATGGCGCAGTAGGTTTATCATCTGCCTGCAGCACTGGCATCCCATGTGGCTGCTGGTTCTGGTCCCATCTGCTCCTCTTCCAATCCAGCTCTCTGCTGTGGCCTGGAAAAGCGGTGGAGGATGGCCCAAGTGTTTGAGCCCCTGGGCCCGTGTGGGAGACCCAGAGGAGGCTCTGGCTCCTGGCTTTGGATTGGCTCAGCTCAAGCTGTTATGGCCATTTGGGGAGTAAGCCAGCTGATGGAGGACCTTTCTCTCTGTCTTGCCCTCTCACTGTCTGTAACTCTTCCCCTCAAATAAATAAATTAAAAAATTAGACACTTGCAGGATAAGACTCTGGGTTTAGTATTCATAAATCTCAGCTCTGCAACTATGAGGTAAGCTTTCATAAGAGGTTTGGTTTTTGTTTTGCTTTTAGGGTAAACATTTTTTCATGTCATTTATGCTGCATTTGAGGTGGGAATTTGAAGTCTTGAAATTATGTTTTTCTGCTTTCTCAAGCACAGTTAGGAACAACTAGTAAATCTCAATATACTTGCTAGTTTGTCAAAAATGCTCCAAGTTATCAAACACACCGTTGCTCAGAACCTCATTTTTTTTTAAAGTAACTAATGATTAGGCATATCCACTGGTGAGATTTTACCTGTCTTACCACATCATGCTATGGATATCAGAGTACCCTCTTTATCATTGGAAATCCAGTTACTAGTGCCTTTTTTTTTAAAGATTTTTATTATTTATTAGATAGAGTTTCAGAGAGAGAGAGGTCTTCCATCCGCTGGTTCACTCCCCAAATGGCTACATCAGCTAGAGCTGAGCCATTCCAAAGCCAGGAGCCAGAAGCTTCTTCTGGGTCTCCCATGCAGGTGCAGGGGCTCAAGCACTTGGGCCATCTTCCGCTGCTTTTCCCAGGCCATAGCAGAGAGCTGTACCAGAAGAACAGCCAGGGCTCAAACCAGCACCCATCTGGGATGCCGGCACTGCAGGCAGAGGCTTACCCTACCACCCCACAGCACCAGCCCAATAACTAGTGCCTTTAAATAATGTAGTAGAGAACTAACTCAAAAAAATCCCTGAACTAGTAAGAAAACCTTCAGAATGTGTTCCTTTAGAACCATTCTCGGTTTCAAAATCTCTATCATGGTTCTCCAAAATAGAGGTTCAATTATATAAATATAGAATATGTAATTATATATTAAAATTTTATAAACTTATGAACTTTTACAAATTTAATAAATGTTTTTGAAGAATTGCCTCATGCAATTATGGGGCCTGGCAAGTCACATCTCTAGGGAAGGCTATCTGGCTGGAAAATCAGGCGGGAGTTAAAGCTTCAATCTGCAGGCTAATTTCTTCTCTGGAAAACCTGTTTTTGTTCAACTGATTGGATGAGAACCACAGTTAAAATTATCTTACTATAGATAACTGTAGAATTAGGATACTATAGATATCTTATTGATGTTAACTGCATTTCAAAATAGCTACATAGAAATATCTGTATTGGGCCGGCGCCGCGGCTCACTAGGCTAATCCTCCGCCTAGCGGCGCCGGCACACCGGGTTCTAGTCCTGGTCGGGGCGCCGGATTCTGTCCCGGTTGCCCCTCTTCCAGGCCAGCCCTCTGCTGTGGCCAGGGAGTGCAGTGGAGGATGGCCCAGGTGCTTGGGCCCTGCACCCCATGGGAGACCAGGAGAAGCACCTGGCTCCTGGCTCCTGCCATCGGATCAGCGCGGTGCGCCGGCCGCAGCGGCCATTGGAGGGTGAACCAACGGCAAAGGAAGACCTTTCTCTCTGTCTCTCTCTCACTGTCCACTCTGCCTGTCAAAAAAATAAATAAATAAATAAATAAATAAATATCTGTATTAGCATTTGATTAAGTAACTGGGCACTATAGCCTAGAGATGTTGACATATAAAAATAACCATGTGTTGAATTTTTTTTTAATGTTGTGACTGAATGTGGCTTACTAAAACTGCCTGAATATGTTTAGGTTTGTCATGAGGCTACTGTATATATGCTTCTGTACAGAGATCTGTCAATGTTAAATTCAGTCAGAAAACCTCTAACATGGGATGCTTCACACTGTTCCACTAAATTTTCAAAGCCTGCATTACCACCTCGCTTGCCATGATACACTATTTATATCCCTAAATCCTGGTGTGGGATCCAGGTTCAACAGTGGGATGACTGTTCCAGACTAGACTGGAGACACATCTTCAGTGTGGGTGTAGTGACTGATGAAGCCAATATTCCTGAGCAAATCTGAGTGAACAGAATATATTCAAAAAGGGCTCCAGGCTTAGAGGCTGACCATAGATTCTTACAGAGTGATGCCAAGGTTCTACTCAAGGTTCCCCCATGGAGTCTATTATGATAACACAGCATTCTTTCATTCGAGGTAGACTTCCATGACTGATTGGAACGCAGGAATGGTCCAAACCCAGGAGAGTAACCCTAGAAGATATAGAAGCCAGGGATGTGAGTCAGTCGATTCCTGTCAACAAGCCCAAGTAGTACAACATGGAGAATTAGGAGGACATAGCAAGGATATTGACTCAGCTTGGGGTTGACAGATTGACTATATATTGGACCTTCAACACCCAACCATGGATTCTTCTGGTGCTTCATAGCAGTTGAAACCTACTTTGATGTGGAAATGCCACCCCCATGTGCATATGATGACAGTACCACAATAGTCCCCCTGGTGAAAAGTCACTGTTTTATATGTTTCTGTACCATATAGGGTTCCAATCAGAAAAAGGCACTTCTTTATTTTTTCTAAAGATTTTATTTATTTATTTATTTATTTGAGAGGTAAGAGTTACAGACAGGGAGAGGGAGAGACAGAGAGAAAGGTCTTCCTTCCATTGGTTCACTCCCCAGATGGCCACAACAGCCAGAGCTGCACTGATCTGAAGCCAGGAGCCAGGTACTTCTTCCTAGTCTCCCATGCAGGTGCAGAGGCCCAAGGACTTGAGCCATCTTCTACTGATTTCCCAGGCCACAGCAGAGAGCTAGATTAGAAAAGGGGCAGCTGGGAATCCAGCGCCACCGGCAGAGGATTAACCTACTGCGCCACAGCACCGGCCCCTTCTAGGAAGGTCCAGATCCAGATGGAGAAAATACACCTTCAAGCAGCACGCTTTCTTTTGTAAATCTGCAGTCCCTATTAAACTAAACCTCAGCGCCTGGGGCTCTTGCCTGAGAATCATAATCTAGGAAGGCTTGATCATCCTCCTTGGACTGGCCCTTTCAGTGCCCTGATCAAGCGCACTGTGGACAGCGTCACACAGTGACACACACGCAACAATCCCGCCTTCGTTACACACACAGCAGTCCCCACACGCCGTTGCACGCGCAGCACTCTCCCCAAGTTTCACACTGTCTAATGGGGCAAGGTTGCTCTGTGAGAATTACTGCCCTTCAAGCCATCCAAGGACCATAGTGAGCACAACTTCATCTCCATACTGGGGTAGCTGTCCGTCCTATTGCTTGTAACACGCTTTGCTCCCCCCCTCCCCAGGTCAGGGGATGTTGGAGAAGAAGCCTTCAAGTAACATGTTGCCCCTCCCCAGGACTGCCCAATCAGTGCCCTGTGTTTGAGCCATTCTCTTTTAGGGAGGCCAGATGCCCAGCTATTGCTTGGCCCCAAATTCTTCTTCCTTATTAAGAGAAATCTTTCCTGTTCTGGGTAAGCAGTGAACTTCCTTTCTTGTACTGCTTAAGTGTGTGCAGCATATGGCACCTGGCCAGCCCCGTGAGTATATCTGCTCCATGCAGAGAAAACATGGTGTGTGCCTGCAGCACATGAGAGGTGCTTATAGTCCGTCGCCCTGCATTAGCTATTGGGAGGGACTGGCTGATCACGGAAGGCCAGCACAGACAACCAATACTGATATTGCTGGTTCATGTCTTCTTGTTGTGAGTAACGTGTTATTCCAACCAGCCCTTTGTGTGTTAAGCCATGCTTTGGCCATTCTGAACCTACAGGTGATGCAGTGTGCTGAGCCTGTGGTTAGCACTGTTATGCTCTTGTGTGCTTTCCACACAGTGGGAATCCTCACCTCAAGATCAGTCGTTGGAGCTTTCTGCTCAACATTTAACCACAACGCCATATGATCCTTCAACAGCTTCGGAATGACTAGAAAAATCAACACAAACATAACACAAGGACGCTTACAGGCCACGTTGCCAGTTATTTAAAACCTCAAAATCCATCAATGGTTCAATAAATTATAGCACAAACATAAGATGGAGGGAATACCATTCAGGAATATTGACATTATTTGCCCAAATTTGTAAACCTGGTAAGAGGATCTTATTATCCTGGGTTCTCCAGAGAAGGAGAGCCAACACGACATACAGAGATACAGATGGATAGACATAGAGATTGACTGCATTGATTGCTAGACAGTTTGTAGGTGAAGAAGCCCAAAGTAGAATTCAAGCTTCTCTAACTCTAAAACTAGCCGTTATTCCGTAAGAAAACATGGATAGCCTTCAGGAGAGTGTCTGTCTCCTGCGTAGGTTACATTCTGTTACATCTGTAAATTTACAGTATAAGACCACATTTGCAACTCGGGAGAAAGTCTCCGTGCTTGGAACCTTCCAACGGAGATTCAAATTCCTGTCTTCTCTCCCGGAGGTAATTCTCCCAAGGATTCCCTAAGGGGAGAGGAAGAAGCAGCAGGGATTCCCAGTTGTAGACATCACAGCAACAGAAAAGGCCGGCTCTGCAGTGCCATTACCACATTCGGCAATAAGGCACTGCTAACCCTGTGTGTGCCTCCTACAGACGACGCGCACCCGGGGAGGACCCGGGGTGAGGCCAGGTCTTCCCTCCAGAAAAGACAGATTTTGGCTCACGCTCTTTGGCAGAGTCAGCCACTATTTCGGGCAGAGAAAGACAATGTTTTTATTCACATTGTGAATCGCTGCGTTCCGAAAGGTGAAGTGGCAGGCTCGCACAGCCACACGAGGTCACACCATCTCACTAACCTGGGGACAGCGTCACACATTGACACCCACGCAACAATCCCGCCTTCGTTACACACACGGCAGTGCCCACACGCCGTTGCACGCGCAGCACTCTCCCCAAGTTTCACACACGCACAGCTCCTACCTGCAACACAAGACCGAAACATTCACGCTCCCTCGTGCACAGCCGCACAACCACCAAACACAACGGCCACCGGCACTCAGGCAGCCCCAGATACAAGTCGTCCTACAGCTGCTCCTCGGCCCTCAAAGACCCTCTGGCGCACTCAGCGACCTCACCTGAGGCCCTCGGTACAACCTGCTTCCCTAGCTCCGCCCAGCTAGGAATTCCGCTACTTATTAAGGCCGAATTGGCTCGCAGCGGCCTCTGGGAAATGTAGTTCGGGGAGGGGCGGAAAAGGCTCAACGCGAAGGACCCTGGGACTCGTAGTTTGGTGAGAGAGGCGGGAAGCCTCGCAGTGTCCCACCGCTCACTGGACTCATTAAGTCCTGTGCGTGTACAGGAGGGCGCTTTGGTGGGTGGGGAAGAAACAGAGGGCACTGAAGTCCAAGGTGGAAAAGGACCATCTCTCCAGGGTGGAGGAGAGAGGACTCTGAGAGGCTCCCGCCCGCCAGCAGCGCGTGAAGACTTGGAGGGAGCCCCAGAGTTGGGAGGTTCTTCCTAGAGGGGTGGTGTGGTGACGCTTGTCCAAAAGAATCAAACAGCAGTGCACGTTAATTTTGCAAACTCACTGCGTAATAATTGGGCTCAAAGGCTGCAAGGCAAACTTCGGAAAGGTCAGTTTTCCTTGTGTCGTTGTTTGCCCCAAAGTAGCCGAAGCAGACGAGAGACTTGGGAAGGTTGCAGAAACAATGAAAATGTCTCTCCTTGGAGGGCAGTTCCTGTTGCCCAGCTAGGAAGGGAACCCTTGAGGGCACAGACACACAGTGTCAGGGCAACCCACGAATGCAGGGCAGCCTTTCACGGGTGTGGGTCCCCGGGGAGGGTTAGTGGAGAGGGCGTATTGGAGGGTTCCAGCACCAGGTCTCACCAGTCTACCGCAGAGTCTAACTGGCCTTACCTGGCCAACAGTACTATATGTTCAAATTTCCACCAGAAGTTGGGATATTCCACCGTTATCCGGACTGGAATAAAATACCTGAATTGGTATGGCAGAAAGGATTCACCTCTCTCCTTTTTTTTTTTTTTAAAAAAGTATTATTTCATTTATTTGAAAGACTGAGGAGTTACAGAGAGAGGTAGAGCCAGAGAGAGAGAGTGGTCTTCCATCTGCTGGTTCACTCCCCAAATGATCACAACAGCCAGAGCTGCGCCAATTGGAAGCCAGGAGCCAAGAGCTTCTTCTGGGTCTCCCAGGTGGGTGCAGGGGCCCGAGGACTTGGGCCATCTTCTACTGCTTGCCCAGGCCATAGCAGAGAGCCGGATCAGAAGAGGAGCAGCCAGGACTTGAACCAGCACCCATATGGGATGCCGGCACTGCAAGCTGGTGCTTTAACCCACTACACCACAGTGCAGGCCCCAGGATTCATCTCTTGATAGCACCGAAGAGGAGTGACCAAAAGGAAATGGTCCAAGTAATAGTGCTCCCAACTTTTTCATGGTACACACAGAAAGTGGTAATATATGTATGGCACACTGGAGTCGTGGAAGTTAGGATGCAGGTTAAGTTGATGTAACAAGTGACTTGAACACATACATTTATTTCTCCCTTATGTAAGACTCTAGGGGAGGGCAGTTCAGGACTGGTGGAGTAGCTCACCTTCCAGAACAAGTGGTTTCCATCTTTGGGGGAAAGCAGGAGGTTACAATTCTCAGTGAGTAGGGCCTACGGAGGCATTGTGCTTTCTAGAAATGATAATCTCTTTTGTTTACATCTAATTTGTTAGATAAAGTGGACTTTCAAAAATGAAAAACTCATGCATCAAAGGAAATTATCAAGAAATTTAAAAAAATCACCTACAGATTGGGAGAAAACATTTGCAATAGGTCAGGGGTCTGGTATCTAACTTATTTTAAGAATGCTTCTTGACTAAACAAACAAACAAAAAAAACAAATCAAGACTTGATTAGACATCTCTACAAAGAGGATATACAAATGGCCAACAAGAGTATGAAAAGACATTTAACATCATTAATTATTAGGGAAATGTAAATTAAAATCACAGTGATGAGGCTGGCGCCTGCAGTGCCAGCATCCCATATGGGCGCTGGTTCGAGTCCCGGCTGCTCCACTTCCAATCCAGCTCTCTGCAATGGCCTGGGAAAGCAGTACAAGATGGCCCAGGTGCTCGGGTCCCTGCACTCATGTGGGAGACCCAGAGGAGGCTCCTGGCTCCTGGCTTCAGATCGGCATGGCTCCAGCTGTTGCAGCCAACTGGGGAGTGAACCAGCGGATCGAAGACTTATCTCCTTCTCCCTGCCTCTCCTTCTCTCTGTGTGTGTAACTCGGACTTTCAAATAAACAAATCTTTAAAAAAAGACCTCTCTGCCTCTCCTTCTCTCTCTGTATAACTCTTTTCAAATAAATAAATAAATGTAAAAAAAATAAATAAAAGAAGGGTTGGATGGGAAGGAAGCATGACACGGGGCTGAATTTACAATTCTGTCCCCATGAGCAGCCAGCTCTCAGGCATGCAATTCAACTTCCTATGACTGCTTTCATCATTAGTAATGTGTTAGCTGTTTACATAGATTAATTTTTTCAAGTAGCTCTCACAAAAACTTGAAAGGTTACAATCATTATTTGTTTTATAAATGGCTGAGTCTGAAAGTAAAATCACTTCTTCAAGTCCTTCTCACTTAAAAGAGTTGACATCCACACATAAGTCTAACTCCATCATCCATACTTGTCCCAATAATCAACAGAGAAAATACTTCCACTGCTTTTCTGGAAGATATGGTATATATTATGGAGTAAGTGCCTTTAAGAAAGCTGACTACTGCTCCGTGTTGTGCCGTAGCAGGTAAGGCAGCCACCTGTGATACCGGAATCCCATATGGGTGCAGGTTTGCATCCCGGCTGCTTCACTTCCAATCCAGCTCCCTGCTAACAAGCCTGGGAAAGCAGTGGAGGGTGGCACAAGTGCTTGGGACCCTGCCACCCACCTGGGAGATCTGGAAGAAGCTCCTGGCTCCTGGCTTTGGCCTGGTCCAGCCCCGGCTGTTGCAGCCACCTTGGGAGTGAGCCAGGTGATGAAAGATCTGTCTCTCCCTCTCTGTGCAATTTGGAATTTCGAAGGAAGGAAGGAAGGGAGGGAGGGAGGGAGGGAGGAGAGACCTGCCCAGGAGGGTGACTTACTCCCCTGTCACTGAGGTTACCTCACCTCACAGCTTCAAGGAATCTACATTTTTTTCACCATTAAATCTATCATCACTGTACTGAGCTTTAGGAATAAATTAGAAAATGTTAGTAGGGTATAGAAAATTAAGATGCAAAGTAGAAACCAGAATTCAGTGTGAAACTGTGTCTAAAAGGAGCAAACTCTCCTGTGGGGAGCAACTCAGACTGGACTAAGTTACTGGAATTAAGACTTATTCTATGGGCCGGCGCCGCGGCTCACTAGGCTAATCCTCCGCCTAGCGGCGCCGGCACACCGGGTTCTAGTCCCGGTCGGGGCGCCGGATTCTGTCCCGGTTGCCCCTCTTCCAGGCCAGCCCTCTGCTGTGGCCAGGGAGTGCAGTGGAGGATGGCCCAAGTGCTTGGGCCCTGCACCCCATGGGAGACCAGGAAAAGCACCTGGCTCCTGGCTCCTGCCATCGGATCAGCGCGGTGCGCCGGCCGCAGCGCGCCGGCCGCGGCGGCCATTGGAGGGTGAACCAACGGCAAAGGAAGACCTTTCTCTCTGTCTCTCTCTCTCACTGTCCACTCTGCCTGTCAAAAAAAAAAAAAAAAAAAAAAGACTTATTCTATGCATCTGCTCTCCCACAATATGGCGCTGAGAAGGGAGAAATAGCTTCTACACAGCTGCCTCCAGTTCAACCAATAAACTGTAGGACCTGCTCCTGATTGGAGGAAAGCAGCGTACTCAGCGTGTGGGCAGCCGAGTTGGGATTGGTGGAAGAGGACTATAAAGGAGGAGAGAGACAACATGCACCAGGAACATCTAAGGGGAACACCTGAGGGAACACCTGTGCAGCCCCCGAGAGAGCCGGCCGGCGGTGTGCCGCTCCTCCGCGGAAGTGGGGAAGGTGGCAGGGGGAACCGCCCTTCCACGGAGGTGGAAGGGTCGGTAGCCAACCCGGGAAGAACCAGCAGCAAACCCGAGGAGGGCCGAGCAGACAAAAGAACAGCGCAGGGTCCTGTGTCGTTCCTCCACGAAGACGGGGAGCGACACTCTCCAGCTGTATCTAAAAGGGGCTCAATCAGAACGGCAGTAATTCTGCTGAAAACTCAGGTGCAGGCCTTCCATCCAAACCCAGTCGTGACTAAAAGGACCCCAACTCGGTGGGAAAAAATAAACGTCACGCAAGTTTTGCATTGTTTTCTCTGAGGAAGGCTACTTGAAATTACTTTTTTTTTTTTAAAAAAAGAAAACTTTCTGTAGGAGGAAGAGAGCATAACACATGTGAACCACATTTCCTTTGGATTCATGTAATTGAGGCAGTTTTAAATTAGCAATTTTCAAATGCACATAAAAAACTTACTATTGAAACGATGTTTCACAAACCCTGAAACAATTTCAAGTTGTATAAAAGGTAATTAATATACTATGCACCTCTTATTAAAGTGAACTATACTGTGAAGTTAAACAATCTTTTTCTCCTTTGGTAACAGGAATTACGGAAGACAGAAAATGTCATATATAAAGAAAATTCAGTCTTGGACATATTCTCAGGCCCAAATCTAGCCAGCCAAGACCTTTTAAAAACCAATAAAAATTATTTCTGTCTTATAAGGGAAACTCCTATTTCTGGTTTTATATTCCCTTATGAATATTTTCACTGTTTCTCCCTCCCTAGATTCTATGGAAGGTAGCTTAACTTCATGATTTGGGAAGCAAACACTGAGGATGAGAATGAAATATTTTATTATTGCCAGAAAGTTAGGATACTTGCAAAGGTGTCAGAGCAGTGCTGAAGGAAACAGGAGTTTGCTTAAAATGACCTCCATCGGATGTATATGGATGTATACATACACATAGATTTCCTTTCCAGTAGATGCAAAAAGCATAAAACCTGCCTTAATGTGTGAGTGTGTATATGAAGTATCAATGTATAGATAATCGTAGCTCTCTCAGGCCTTTACTCAAATGTCAATTTCAAAAGACGCCTTCCATGGCTCCTCCATCCCTTCCTTCACGTTTTTTTTTTTTTTTTTTTTTGCTTCAAAATTTACTCTCCTACATGTTGTATCTTATTTACATATTTTTGATAGTCTGTCTTCTTCATTAGAAATTAGCTCTATGAAGGCAGTGATTTTTTTTTCTGGTTTAGTCTATTTTGTTTGTGTCTCCACTGGCAAAGTCTGGCACACAGGAGGTACATAATACAAAAATTTTAAATTAAATACACCTCTTTGGATGCATGTACACACATACACACAGAAACACAGATCTCTAAATGGTCCCAACAACAATCAGATACTAAAAAAGCATTAATTTTCAATAATGCTACAAGATCAGGTTGATGTGTCACTAAAAGACAACAGGCTATATAGTCTCAGATAAACAGAATTTAGTACCTCATTGTGAGGAAAAACATATGACCGCAAAATATACTTATGCTAAAGACATGGGTTAAAAAAAGGCTTGATTGGTAATACAGAGAATCAACCAGTTGTCTTGGTTTATGTCATCATGGAGGAAGAAATCAGACACAATATCTAGATCAAAATCAATTACTGAATAACTCAAACTGTTTACTGGTCTGAGTTATTATTCTTCCTGTAGGCCTGGTAAGTATGTAATCTTAATAAAATATATTTGCAAAGTTTGGTAATTAAAACAAAATAAATTATTACTCAATACTCAGAAATTATTAGAACAAGCATTCCAATACCTCAGAGAAATAAGACAATGATGACATGAATTAAGCTTTGGATATTAACATGTTATATTAGATTATATTAGATCTAAATAAGTTTGGTAATGTTTTATAATAATTACATTAGTTTTTACTCATAGTTTGAAGTATCGGTCATAGTTTAGTTTGTTTAAAAGGAATCTGTCAATATTTAAGAAAAATAATTTTAGACCTTTATTAGGTCTAAATAGAAATTTACTAATAAGTTATGAAATTAATCATTATTTTGCTTTATGCATAGATATAAATCCTTCATTCTTTATTTGCTCTGATCTGCTTTCATAAATGCTCTCAGACAATGCCAAAGATTCTGTTTAAGATGGCTAAGTTTGCATATCAACAAGGTGTACCTCTCAACACCCATTCAGATAAAACACTCATAGAAATATATTGCTCCACACCCTCCCATTCCCCATTACTGTGAATAATGGTAATAATGTATTATCTAAAACATTCAGTCATCAACTGTTTACCATTTATTGAAAATGGCTCATTCTTTCTGTTTGCCACCAATGTCTGTCTGGTATCTCTAATACAAGGAACTTATCCATACACTTCATAACTATGTTTCTAGCCAATTCACAAAAGACCCCATTTATAATCCTGTCTTATTATGTACTCCTACACAGTATGTTTAAGCCAATATTTAAAGAAGAAAATCAAATAATCCCTTTAAGATGAAGAACCACTCATTAAACTGATGGATTCATTATCCTCTTAGCTTTCCATTCGCTCTTTACAGGCCATGGAAAAACAACTTCAACTCCTTAATGAAAAGCCTATCAAGGAATTTTACTGGATAAATTAAAAAATATTTATCCTTGTTGTGAAATAGATTAATAAACATTAATTTCTATCAACAAGTAAAATATAATAATTCTCCCAGTTTTATGAAGGCTGTATATTCACCTTTCATATGTTTATTATAAGGTTTATCCTCAGCATAACCAAATATGTCATATAAAAGATTAAGGCCATCATACAGGTATAGTAAACATAGGGTGAGTTGGTACTTTAATTCCAAGAGGCAAAAACCTAATTTAAATTAAATTACACAAAATAAAAATAAATTTATTGGCTCACAAAGATGCGGAAGTAAAGAATGGTATACATATTAAGCATGACTGGGTCTGGAAGATCAATGTTATCAGATTTCTGTCTTTCAAGTCCATTTTCCTCCGAGTTGAATTTCTCTTTAGGAAGGTGTGGCAAAAGCCAACTGGATTTACTGAACCCTCAAAACCTCCAATTCTAGGAAACAACTCTCTTACTACCCACAGCAGTACTCCCAAAGGGCTTTATGGGTCTAGAAGGGCTAATTTGCCAATCTCTTCTCAGTCACCAGGTTGGGGGAAATAACTGGCCAGTCTGACCAATCCACTGCTTTCCCTGATTAAGTTCCATTGGAATTGTATGCACTGCAGATGGTGTAGATAGGGGAAAAGAGCAGATGTCCCCCACTCAGGGTATTCCAAATAATGGATGCTTATGAACTGAAGGCTTTTCTATATGTACTACATTCACAGAATTACTAACCAAAAATAATTCACTGATATTAAATAAAAACGGAGGGATGCTTACATGTTTTCTTTCCTACACCTATTATAATCAGAGAGTTTCTCTGTTATGACTTCTCTGATGTCTTCTAAGAGCGGAGGCACAACTAAAATTATTCCCACATGCATTACATGTATAGAGTTTTTCTCCAGCATGAATTCTCTGGTGTAGCCTAAGGGACAAGATTTGGTGGAAGGCTTTCCCACATTCATCACACGCATAGGGTTTCTCTCCGGTGTGAATTCTCTGATGCTGAGTGAGGTATGAGCCACAGCTGAAGGCTTTGCCACATTTGCTACATTCATAGGGTTTCTCTCCTGCGTGACTTCTCCGGTGGTGAATTAGAACCAAGGCGTCACTGAAGGCTTTCCCACATTTACTGCATTCGAATGGCTTCTCTCCAGTATGAATTCGATGATGTCGATTAAGCTGGGAGTCAGTTCTAAAGAACTTCCCACATTTAATGCACTCGTAGGGCTTCTCTCCGGTGTGGATTCTCTGATGCTGGTTAAGGTGTGAGCGATAGCCGAAAGTCTTTCCGCATTCGCTGCATTGGAAGGGTTTCTCTCCAGTGTGAGTTCTTTGATGCAGAGTCAGGGCTATGCGTCTGCTGAAGGCCTTTCCACATTGCTCGCATTCGTAGGGCTTCTCTCCAGTGTGAATCCTCTGATGCTGACTGAGGTGTGCACTCTGTCTGAAGGCTTTGTTGCACTCCTTACATTCATATGGTTTCTCTCCTGTGTGAATCCTCTGATGTTCAACGAGGAAGGCGTAACGACTAAACGCCTTCCCACATTCATTGCACGCAAAGGGCTTCTCTCCAGTGTGGATTCGCTGATGTTGAGCAAGGTGTGCACTCTGCCTGAAGGCTTTGTTGCATTCCTTACATTCATAAGGTTTCTCTCCAAGACGAATCCTCTGACGTGCACTAAGGAAGAAGTCACGGCTAAAGGCCTTCCCACAGTCATTGCATGCATATGCTTTCTCTCCTCTGTGAATTCTCCGAGGTTGTGTAAACAATGAGTAACAGCTGAAAGCAGCACCACATTCATCATATTCGTGGGATAATTTTCCAAAATGAGAAGTGTGATGTTGAGAAAGCCATGAATGGAAACCCAAGAGATTTGAAAAAGTATTCCCTCCATAAGGTTTCTCACCAGAAGGAATTCCTATAGCCCTACAAAAGTGTGTATTCTGGCTGAATTCTTCACATTCATTACCTACCAAAGGTTCCTTCTCAGAATGAAGTCTTTTACAGTCAATTATGAGTGAATTTGGGGGGAAAATTCTATCATAAATATCAAATTTATGTATTTGCTGTACTGTGGGTAATCTCTGTTGTGTTAAAAATAATGGCTTTAAGGAAATGCTTCCCTCGGAATTTTTATACTCATTATATCTTTTCCCAGTAGAGATATCCTTAAGAGTTGTCACTTGCCTGAAATGTCTCTCCTGATCTCCCTGATGGTCAAATTCACCCTCACATTTCCAGGTTTCTCTGAAACTGGAACATTCAAGGTCATTTCTTATAGGTCTTTCCATTACCATCCCTTGGGATATTTCTTCATCATCAATGAAGCATTTTGGAGATAATTCCTTGATTTCACACCATGGCTCCCAGTCTGAAAAATATCAAGAAAGCAATTGTATCCTTTCTTTCCTTTGCTAGGAGAAACAACACTGTTATAGAAGAAATTCAAGAATTTAACTGGGAGGAAGAATTTAACTGGGGGGAACTACATGGTTCTAACATCTCCCAAATATGACCACACAATATGAACAAAATACAAAGAAACTGGGGCCGGCACTGTGGCACAGCAGGTTAACGCCCTGGCCTGAAGTGCAGGCATCCCAGATGGGTGCCGGTTTGAGACCTGGCTGCTTCACTTCCGATCCAGCTCTCTGCTATGGCCTGGGAAAGCAGAAGATGGCCCAAGTCTTTGGGCCCCTGCGCCTGCGTGGGAGACCCAGAGGAAGCTCCTGGCTACTGGCTTCGGATGGGCGCAGCTCTGGCCATCACAGCCAACTGGGGAGTGAACCATTGGATGGAAGACCTCTCTCTCTCTCTCTGCCTATCCTCTCTCCTTGTAGCTCTAGCTTTCAAATAAATAAATCTTTAAAAAAAAAATACAAAGGAACTACGAAGACAGCTGATGGAGGAAGGTGTCGGTACTCGTGATGGGGAGGGCAGTGTAGGTTAAGTAAGTAAAATGCAGGGGATCAAGAGGGAGACAAAGCCAAATGCCAAGAAGACAAAGATTTGAGGATGATTGATTATATCACAATCAAAGTTTTGCTCCCTTTGCTCTTCCAAGCCTCCAATCCAATCTGCATGTGTATTCATAAGACTAAAGGTCCCTCGCTGGGTTCTAGTCCCAGTTGCCCCTCTTCCAGTCCAGCTCTCTGCTGGGGCCCGGGAAGGCAGTGGAGGATGGCCCAAGTGCTTGGGCCCTGCACCCGCATGGGAGACCAGGAGGAAGCACCTGGTTCCAGGCTTCGGATCAGCATAGCTCTGGCCATTGCGGCCATTTGGGGAGTGAAGCAACGGAAGGAAGACCTTTACTTTCTCTCTGTCTCTCTCTCTCTCTTACTGTCTGTAACTCTACCTGTCAAATCAATAAATAAAAATCTTAAAAAAAAAAAAAAAGACTAAAGGTTCCAGGAGGGCAAGGACTAATGCTCGTTCCTTTCTATTCTTGCTGCTGCATACACTGCTTAGGAAAATAACAGCACGCTGTGAAATGAAGAATGCTGCCAGATTCATCTCCGAAACTTTTCCTAGTAATGCTGCTCAACAAATTCTAAGATTTTATCAGGATCCACAGAAAAGTTGGTGGTTTCTTTTGTCTGTGGCTACAAGAAATATAAAGATTGGCTTTTAAGAGTGAATGGTGCCTGCAGAAGAGATACTTGATATTTTCAGGAGAGGATATTGGTTGGGGTAAGGCACAAAGAAAACTCACTTTTTAAAAGATGGTCTCAACAAGAGAAATAAAAGAGTCCTTTTCATGTCCATACCACAATAATCACACAGTATATTCAACTATACAGAACTTAATCTTTATGTACCCAGAACCTAGTAGGAGGGGAACTACGTACAAAAAGAGCTTAAATTACATACAATGATTCAGTATGGAACATAATAAAGGACTAGCTAAATGATAAGACTATTAGTAGTATATTAGTGTGTATATATATGTATATATATATATGGTAGTATAAATATCTGAAAAACATGATCAAAACTCACTGACTTGGTTATGGATAATTTCTGGGGAAAATGAGCTTGGTTTCCAAAGCTTCCAAAATTTAGTGACTATTTCAGTAACAGCCATTTTCATGTTTGAATGTGATTAGGGGTTATTTTAGAACTGTACATTTCAGCATCTGCATATTAATTAAATATAGCCTTTCATAATAGTTTCCCATGTATTGACAACAAAAGCTGCCTACATACACAAAAATAAAAAAAAAAAACAAAGAACATATTATATATTTATGTCTTTCTTCTTTTTCAGTAGACTCTCTACCCAAGGAAAGGCCCCAACCCTAACTATGCATTACCTTAAATTTTCTCTTACTTGAATTCCTATCTAAACTTTGGCCTGAGAGGGCTTTTCACACTAATTCTCTATTACAGGGGTGGGGAAGGTCCAGCCGTGGACTGTGTAAGGCCCATGAAATCATTCAGTCTGGCCCTGCCAAGGCAACTGTAAGGAGGATTCAGGATTCAAGATTCAATACAGCTCCCTCTGTTCCCGCACTCACTCTCCTGGACCTCCTTTCCCGAATCCATCATACAGGGCCACTGTATTCCCTTTATACTAAGAATAAGTCTTTCCTCTCAGTAAATGGCAGGTTTATATAATACCTAATGTAATGCTTAGTAGAAGCCTGATGGGAGAAGACATCAGATATTTTCCAACAAAGGAGATGCCAGTGTGCCTGGAGTGAGCTCCAACCACTTTCTTTAAAACAAAAAAGAGATACGATAGATACTATAGGGGAAGAAATTCTACATAGACAGTAGACTGAGGAAAGCATAGAGCAGGGAGTAAGTATACATGGAAGATATATTACTATGATTAGAGTAGCAAAATACTTAGAAGTCAATTGATATCTTAATGGCATTCAGCAAAAAAGAAGAGAATTCGCCTATCATCAGTAACTCACTGAGGGAAAAGAGGGGAAAAGAGAAATTATGGATTCAGGCAAAGAGGGAGACAAATGGCACAGGACAAACAATACAGGCTTTAGAGTCAAAGGTGAATTTTAATCCTAGCTCTGCATCTATCCATCCACCATGAATGTATCTCTTGAGCTCAGTTTCTTGTTTGGCAAAATGATGTTACCTTGCATGTGAGGCATGAGAATAATATATTTGTAACATACCTGTGGTACATGCCTCATTGTGGACACGTTGTAATGCTCATCATAAAATAAAATATTCTATATTCCTTAAGCAATTCTTGCACTCACACCAATAGTACATTCAGGTGTTATTATATCCATCTCCAAACAGGGATTATAAATAGGACAAAACAAAAACTAGGAAAGGTAAACCTTTTTGGGGTTAAAATGTATCCAGGCAATGTATTAGATATTAAGAGATACATAAATTCCAGCTAGCTATAACCTGTAACTCAACAGAAGTTGGAAGTTAGATTATGATCAGATTTGGAGTCTAATCAGAACTATATTGTAAATAGATTGATTTATGATTTTTGAAGAAGGAAAGGTCTTATTGTGGACTTAGTCTCCCATATGCTGAACGGGTGGACATCCATAGCCACAGACCAAATATATTCAGAAAAAAATGCACCTCTACTTAACATGTACAGACTTTTTTCTTGTCATTATTCTCTGCACACACACACACACACACAAACCCACAGGACAACTATTTATACAGCATTTACATTGTTTTAAATATAAGTAACCTAGAGATGATTTAAAGAACATGGGAAGATGTGTGTTGGTGATATGAAAATACCATGCCATTTTATATAAGGGAATTAAACCTCTGCAGTATCTTCTGAGTACAGATACTGAGTGCCAACTGTACTAATGAGTAAATCATTATTGTATTAATGGCATGAAACCCAGGAGATTCTGGCAGCACCTGAGTGGAAAGGTTGGGATCTACGGAGAACCTAAAAGAACGAATGTACGTAACTTTGGAAATAGTATTTTGACCAGATAATGCAAGGCTAAAGACAAAATGAACTACACAGGGGCTGGCGCTGTGGTGAGCAGACAAAGCCTCTGCCTGCAATGCCAGCATCCCATATGGACACTGGTTCGAGTGCTGGCTGCTCCACTTCCAATCTAGCTCTCTGCTATGGCCTGGAAAGCAGTGGAAGCTGGCTCAAGTCCTTGGGCCCCTGTAGACCCAGAGGAAGCTCCTGGCTCCTGGATTCAGACCGGCATAGCTCCAGCCGTGGTGGCCATCTGGAGAGTGAACCAGTGGATGGAAGACCTCTCTCTTTTTCTCTCTCTGTAACTCTGCCTTTCAAATAAATAAATCTTTAAAAAAATTAAGTATACATAAATCCTGGAATTTAGTCAGAAAATTTGTTCCTCACAGAATTTTGAAATGACCCTTTTTTTTTTTTTTTTTGACAGGCAGAGTGGACAGTGTGAGAGAGAGACAGAGAGAAAGGTCTTCCTTTGCCGTTGGTTCACCCTCCAATGGCCGCCGCGGCCGGCGTGCTGCGGCCAGTGCACCGCGCTGATCCGATGGCAGGAGCCAGGTACTTCTCCTGGTTTCCCATGGGGTGCAGGGCCCAAGCACCTGGGCCATCCTCCACTGCACTCCCTGGCCACAGCAGAGAGCTGGCCCAGAAGAGGGGCAACCGGGACAGAATCCAGCGCCCCGACTCGGACTAGAACCTGGTGTGCCAGCGCCGCAAGGTGGAGGATTAGCCTAGTGAGCCGCAGTGCTGGCCCAATTATAATTTTCATAAAAATAAAAACTCTAGAAAGAAGTCTAAAAATATATAATATTTTGACTATAAAGATGAAGAAATATCTGAGAGGGTCTGAGATTTAGGGTATAGACAGAAGACTAGAGAAAATAATTTGATAGAGACAGAAAAAAACTCCAAAGGTAGATGAATTTTCTAGGGCAATTTTCTGCATGCTAAAGAGCTCTCAGTTCCCACTGAAGTCCAGGAAAGCCTTCTCTTGACCACTTGGGTGAGCACTAACCTCAGCCCTCCTTACCCAGTTAGTCACTCACCTGCACGGTGACCACGTGACAGCTTCCTCTCCACAATCCAAGGTTCTTTTCCTTGCTCCAGTAAGGATATCATATTGGGCTTAGATATGGAGATTCCTGTTTAGAGAGGAAGAAGAATGACAGCGAGAGACAGATAGACAAATCAACATGCTACAGCTAACTCAGAACACAAATCCAATCTCTCGGTCATCAAGCAAGAAAGGGCAATAGAGGAAGGGCCCAAGAATAGAAAGATGTTTGTATGGAGGATGAGGAAGGTGAAGCTTCATCCACAGGCATAATTTCTGAAGTGCTAGAGCAAACGCAGCCATCACCTAGGAACTAACTAGAAGTCGAAATTCTCAGGTCCCATCCTAGACCTACTGAATCATAAAGTTCAGGGGCTCTCAAACTGTAATGGGCATCAGTATTATTTGGAAGATTTATCAAAACCATACTAGTGGTCCTGTTCTCAGAGTTTCTGATTTTGGAGGTCTAGAATGGGGCCCCATAATTTTCATGTTCCCATATCGTGCTCACGTTGGAGTTCCAAACCACCATTCTAAAACAAAAGGAAACTTACCCATTTCCAACTATCTGAAACTACTTCAAATCATTTCCTGGGAACAGGAAGTAGAAATTCAACTAAGCATTTTCAAGATGCCCTAGATATTCCCAATGGAAAAAACAAAAAGCGCTCCAGAAGGAAGATTCTGAGTTATGAGGGAGAAACATCCTTACCAAGCCATACCAAGTTCCTGTAGTTCTCCAACATGACCTCTTTGTACAAATCTTTCTGTGATGTGTTCAGCCATTCCCACTCTTCTTGGGAAAAGTCCAGGGCCACATCTCTGAATGTCACCAATCCCTGAAATTTCAAACAAACAAACAAACAAAAAAACAGTTCACCAAGTGTTGAGGCCTCCTTTAGGTCCTAGCAAACAAGATGAATTCTTCTATAGTTTAAAGCTCTAGGGACTGGTCTTGTGGTATAATGGGCAAAGCTGCCCCCTGCGATGCCAGGATCCCATATGGGTGCCAGTTCAAGTCCTGGTTGCTTCACTTTTGATGACCCAGCTACCTGCTACTGTGCTTGGGAAAACAGTGGAGATGGCCCAAGAATTTGGGTCCCTGAACCCATATGGGAGACCAGGAAGAAGCTTTTGGCTCCTGGCTTTGGTCTGGCCCAGCCCAAGCCATTGTGGCCATTTGGGGAGTGAACCAGCAGATGGAAGATCTCTCTCTCTCTCTCTCTCTGGCCATTTGGGGAGTGAACCAGCAGATGGAAGATCTCTCTCTCTCTCTCTCTCTCTCTCTCTCTCTCTCTCTGTCTTTCCCTCTCTCCAACTCTGACTTTCATATAAGTAAAATAAATCTTTAAAAAAAAAAAACCTCTAAGTGATGCTGGAGAAACAATTATTACAGAACAATTACATGCCTATTTGTAACATAACTTGAAAGAAAGAGAAATATTAGAAACAGACTCAACAGACTCACCTCTTAAATTTTTTATATATTGTGAAAAAGAAATACGTACACAAGAAAAATAATTAACTTATAACATGAAGAAATACATGAGCAAGGTCGAAGTTGTATTTACAAATACTATACAGACAGAAAATGTGTTCATATTCTCCATGCTGAGTTACTGGCCAAGGCAGAATAGTGAATGAACGTCCTAAAATGGGCTTTTTGTTTTTTTTTATTTCAGTACTATTTTCTTCTTTTTTTGTTAAAGATTTTTATTTTTATTTATTTGAAAGACAGAGTTACAGATAAAGGTAGAAACGGAGAGACAGAGAGGTCTTCTATCCGATGGTTCACTACCCAGGTAACCGCAACGGCTGGAGCTGTGCTGATCCAAAGCCAGAAGCCAGGAGCTTCTTCTGGATCTCCCACATGGGTGCAGGGGCCCAAGGACTTGGGCCATCTTCTACTGCTTTCCCAGGCCATAGCAGAGAGCTGGATCGGAAGAAGAGCAGCCAGGACTCGAACTGGCACCCACATGGGATGCCGGGGTTTCAGGATCAGGCTTTAACCTGCTGTGCGACAATGCTGGCCCCTAAATTGGGCTTTTAGTATGGTCTGAAATTTAGACTCTATATGTAATGGGAAAGTTCCAGGAACATTGGGAAATAATGAAGTATATATAATGATTTTTGTATACAATTTTCATTGGGAAATTATACAAAAAATCTGGAAAGACTTTAGGCTATACCACTGAACTGTAAGCTGCATGAGGGTGACCTCCTGGAACTCTGAAAGGAGCACTGGGGCAGCTGGGAGTTCTACAACACTATGTAAAATTGTGTAGTTGTTTTCTCCAGACACATTCAGCCATATTTCTACTATATAGAATTAGTTCTGACAGAAAATAAGAACATACTCCACATACTGGAACCCCATCATTTTTGAAGTACTCCAATTTTCTTTTTTTTTTTTTTTTTTAACAGGCAGAGTGGACAGTGAGAGAGAGAGACAGAGAGAAAGGTTTTCCTTTGCTGTTGGTTCACCCTCCAGTGGCCGCCGCAGCCGGCGCGCTGCAGCCAGTGCACCGCACTGATCCGATGGCAGGAGCCAGGTACTTCTCCTGGTCTCCCATGGGGGGCAGGGACCAAGCACTTGGGCCATCCTCCATTGCACTCCCTGGCCACAGCAGAGAGCTGGCCTGGAAGAGGGGCAACCGGGATAGAATCCGGCGCCCAGACCGGGACTAGAACCCGGTGTGCCGGCGCCGCAAGGCAGAGGATTAGCCTAGTGAGCTGCGACGCCGGCCAAGTACTCTTTCTTCATGTGATACGTGATAGTACTCTTTCTTCATATGGATGCATGATAGGAAATTTCATTTATTCACTGAATAGTAAATATTTACTGTTTACAGGGTGAAAGTATTATAGTAGATACTAGATGTTTATCAGTTATAACACAGCTTACAGTTTTAACCCGATCTGAAGCCAGGAGCCAGGAGCTTCTTCCAGGTCTCCCACGTGGGTGCAGGGACCCAAGGACTTGGGCCATCCTCCGCTGTCTTACAAGGCACATCAGCAGGAAGCTGGATCAGAAGTGGAGCAGCCAGGACTCGAACCAGTGTCCATATGGGATACCAGCACTGCAGGCAGAAGCTTAACCTACTATGCCACAGCGCCAGCCTGTCATAACAACTATTTCATGCCTTCTGTTTCTCTCTCTCTCTCAAACTGCTACAAACTCCTCTCTTGTTCTCATCTAGAACTTCTTCATCCTCTTGCTACCATATTCACCTACTAACCTGTAATCATACAGTCTATCTTGCCTCTGTTACTATGGATAAAACTTTAGGCTCCTTTCTAAGACCAATCCTTCCACTTGTCCACACATGTTGGATCCATCACACATTGAAGCACAACACTGAGTAAAAAGGCTGTTGTTTTATAGAAGCACAGATGAACAAAAGAAGAGGGTGCTCACCAGGCTGTCTGTAGGGAAGCTCCCTATAGTGAAAGGGAGTCCTTAAAAAAAAATGAGGTGAAATATCTAGAGTGAAAACATGAACTTACCTGGAACATGGCTTTACAAAGTCCAACAGCCATTCCTGCCTCCTTATTTAGTTTTCTCTTTTGAAGAAGAAGAAAGTCCTGAGAAGGGAGAAATTAGAAGAAAAAATTAACATCTCAGCCATGTATTTCTTGTCTGAGACTCACAAAGATAGAATTATTGCCCCTTTATTGACCTCATATCTTTCTTAGATGAGCCAGTCTCGTATTTTTCAAGACCTCAAAAAAAGGTAAATACAGAACCTGGTTCTAGAAGTCTTCTTGTTTGTTTTTAAGAATTTTTTTTTTTTTTTTGGACAGGCAGAGTGGACAGTGTGAAAGACAGAGAGAAAGGTCTTTCTTTTCCGTTGGTTCACCCCCCAAGTGGCCACTAAGGCCGGCGCACTGTGGCCGGAGCACTGCGCTGATCCAAAGCCAGAAGCCAGGTGCTTCTCCTGGTCTCCCATGGGGTGCAGGGCCCAATTGGGCCATCCTCCACTGCACTCCCGGGCCACAGCAGAGAGCTGGAGAGGAAGAGGAGTGACTGGGACAGAATCTGGTGCCCTGACTGGGACTAGAACCCGGAGTGCCAGCGCCACAGGTGGAGGATTAGCCTAGCGAGCTGTGGTGCTGGCCCAAGATTTATTTATTTGAGGGGCCAGCACTGTGGCGCAACGGGTTAAAGCCCTGGCCTGAAATGCCAGCATCATATATGGGCAAGTTCTAGTCCCGGCTGCTCCTCTTCTGATTCAGCTCTCTGCTGTGGCCTGGGAAAGCAGTGGAAGATGGCCCAAGGACTTGGGCCCCTGCACCCCCGTGGGAGAGCTGGAGGAGGCTCCTGGCTTCCTGGCTTTGGATCGGCGCAACTCTAGCCATTGCAGCCATCTGGGGAGTGAACCAGCGGATGGAAGACCTCTCTCTCTGTCTCTACCTCTCTCTGTAACTCTGTCCATCCAGGAAGAAGAAAAAATCTTTTTTTTTTTTTTTTTTTTTTTAAAAGAGAGGTAGAGACACAGAGAGAGTCTTCCATACGCTGATTTACTCCCCAGACGGCCGTAATGGCCAGAGCTGCACCAAGCCGAAGCCAGGAGCCAGGAGCTTCCTGCAGGTCTCCCACGCTGGTGCACAGGCCCAAGCACTTGGGCTATCTTCTGCTGCTTTCCCAGGCCAAAGCTGAGAGCTGGATCAAAAGTGGAGCAGCCTGGACTCAAAATAGCACCTATATGGGATGCCCACACTGCAGACCAGGGCTTTAACCTGCTGCACCACAGCATCAGCCCCTAGAAGTCTTGACTAATATTCAAGACACATAACCTGAACTCAACAAAATCTAAGGTTTAACCAGTGGCCAACAAGGTTTATGATTTGGTCCCAACTGTTCCTGCTCATTCTCTACCCTTCCCACCTTGCTTGCCCCACTCTAGGCATACCCTCTTCTATTCAACACTGTGTTCACTCCTCCCTTAGAGCTGTTGCCTTTGCTTTTCTTTCTGTATGGAAACTTTTCCCAGATATCAGCATGGCTCATACCTTCTATTGCTATATGTGCTCAGTTGTCACCTCACAAGAAAGACTTACCCGAAAATTCACTCTAAAGAAAACCCCAATATTGGTGATTTCCTTTTTCTTTAGTCTGATTGTCTTTCTCAGCATTTATCACCATTGGACATGTGGCAAACATGTTTCATGTTTGCCTCCTCACTCAAAATTTTAAGATTTAAGACGGCTAGGATTTGTTAAGTTCATTTGTGTATTCTAGTGCTTGAACAATGCCAGAACGATTGTGGGTGCTCAAAAACACCGTGTAAATGCTGGAAAAATAAATCTTATTGGGCCTATTGTAATATAAATTGCAGTGTAACATGCCATGAATGCCGTTACATCATTTACTACTCACAAAACACCAAGGGGAGATATTATGATCTCCATCATTACTGATAATTGAAACTGAGGTTCAAGATGCTTAAGCAACCAATTCAAATCAAAGGAGCTCAATGGGAGTGCGACTCAAAACACTGGTATGTTTTTAAGAGACTATGATGTCTGAATGGAAAATAGTCAACCAAACCTGAGAAATCAATGCCATCTATTTCCTAGAGAACAGGGATGGCAAGTCTTCTTTTGATTACTCCACAAAAATGTAGCCTAAGGGAAACATTGCCAAATACAAAGCCAACAACAAATCGTAAGGCTTGAAAGGAGTTCCTTGTCCTCTCAGAGCCAACATTTCTTCATTTTGAAAATGAGAACACTTGTTCTTGATCTAGAATTCAGGATGCACAAGTGCCTATTCTGGGCTACTCTGTCCCAGCCAACTCAGACTCTAGGAAAGTTATTTCCTCAGTTCAGTGCAGCTCTAAGTCGTCCATCAAAGCTTCTGCAACCTGAGAGAAGAATCAATGTATTCTTGGCATCTGGGAGCAAAAGCCTTAGTACATGCACAAAAGAAATTTCCTGCACATTTTCTTCGGTTAAATAGCTGAGTATTCCTTGGATAGTATGTTTCTAAGTTTGGCTTGTACCATCAGTCTCTGAAAAAACAAAAAGGTGTGATGGAAAAGAATTCAATTTTTTATAATTCCCAGACAAGGTGGACTCTTCTTCATTCCTTTCTCTCATTGATTATATGACCTTGGGCAAGTTAACCCATCTGTTAGAGTCTTCCTCTCCTCAAGGTCAAGACTGCATGAACCAAAACCTGGCAGAAAGAGGTGCCGCCCTTGTTCCCATTTAAATCTGTACATTTGGAAATGAACAGAGAGCAGTTTACTAACTGAGAAAGTAAAAACCGAAAACTTAGCTCACTTGATGCATCAGAAAAAGAGCCCTGGCCCCAGCCTGTCTCAGCACCAAACACGGAACAGCTTTAACAATCTCAGACTTACTGGCTTAAGGGAAGACTAGGCTTTCAGGTTGGGCTTTCCTCCGCAGAAGCAACCAATTTTAGGTCTCACTACACTGTCTTTAGAACAGGTCCTGTGAATCATAAGGGGACTGAAGGAAGAGGCCCAGACTAACTTGCCACATTCCAAAGGATCCTAGTCCAGGACCAGAGATCATCCTCTCCTACACCCTCAGAACCCAGGGCTCCCATTTTCCACTCCCACAGCGTGGGAAATATTAAGGGAATTTAGTAATTAAAAGCCAGAAGCCTCAAGCTAAACTGCTTGAGTTTGAGTCCTGGTTCTGTCACTTATTAACTATGAGAACTTGGACAAGTCATTTTACTCTTTCTGTGCCTCCCAATCGCCCACTAGGTCCCGTACAATCAAGCTCATGATCTCACATTCAATTACAAATTCTCAACCAATCACATACGTAGACACAGTGCCACAATTACACCAATAATCTCATACATATACACAGATGTATTAGCAAGAAGATGTAGTCACACAATCACACACACACATTGAGTATCACACAAGGCCATGGTCACGCTGTCACACAAACTCAAATGCAGTTGTATCCGCAGAGACGGCGGAGGTCACACACAGTCACACACACATACATACACTATCCCACATACACTGTCGATCCTCAGCCTCTCGCAAACCCACACACAAGAACACATGGTTATACCTGCAGAGACAGTCACACACATAGACACAGTTCTCTTCCCCACATACAGACAGTCACTGTCATGCATAAGTACACGCGCACCCACACACCCGGTGACACACAAGCTCACAGTTTGTCACACCCGTTGCCTGTCACTTAGACACAGTGACACACTCTCTCACATACATTCTTCCAGGCGGCGCTCACCCAGTCCTCGCCCTCTTTGCGGCTGGTCCATTCCGAGCCCGGCCCTGACCTCCCATTCTTGCCCAGGGCTGGGCCTAACTCACCTCCCGGGACGCGGGCTCTGAAAACGGGACCCGTAACCGAGACCTGCGACGTCACCTCCCAGAATCCTCCGCGTGGCGGAGCACGGATGAGGACCACGGCGTCCAGGACTTAGCTCGGCGGGATCTGAACAAGTATCTCAGCGTTCCTCTTGGACCCCCGCGAACCACGAGTCCCAGAACGCTTTGCGCCGCGGCCTTCATTGTTGAACTACATTTCCCAGAGGGCTCCACGACCCACCTCCACGTGCGCCTGCGCCCTAGGCGTCCGCGGTCAGTGCCGGTGGAGAGGGCTTGTGTGAGAAGCCAGGCGCTGGAGTGAAAGCGGTTTGCTTTGTTCACGGCTGTGTTTGAGGCAGCGGTGAGGCTGAACGCCTGGGTAACTAACTTTATTGAACTCAGGTGTGGCGGTTTGTGTGTAAATGTTGCACACTTTTGTGCTTACACACCAACGGGGCGACGTGATTCTGGGTAGTGTGACAGATTTGGGGCGTGTCACGTTGAGAAAGTGAGAGTGATCGTGATTGCGTGAGAGAGTCTGTCCGACTTTGGGTTGACGTGTTCAATAACTGTTCTTGTCCTAGAAGTCATAGGAGTCTACTTGAGACAGGCACCGGAGCCGCTTCTGGGGTTGCCTTTCAGGAGGAGTCTGAGAGGAGAGAGAGAGAGAGTGTGTGTGTGTTATAGTTCATAGCTCCGGTGGTGTTCTTCCTTTCTTTCCATCTTTTCACCTTTTATCTCTAATGAAGAAAACCGCCCATGGCTGCAGGACAGGAAATTAACCCCCTGACTGAAAATTCCAAACAAAGCAAAATTCTCTCCCACCCCCATGGAATTCCCGGAAGGTGCGCCCCCAAGTCAAACTCCCAGTCCGTGGTATGTGTGGAAGCCAGGGGAAGTTCTTTGAAAATCTGTTCTTGGAGAACTCACTCAATCCCCTGCCCCAGAGAGCCCTGTAATAGCCAAGGCCGGGGAGTGCTGGACAAAAGGAGGCTGACCACTGGGGCTGGGGCTGAAATGACTGCTACTTGCTCTGTGAACCTGAGCATTTTACTTTCAGAAGGTTTTTTTTTTTTTTTTAAGACTCTAGATTTAATAGTTTAGTTCATTTAATGAAATGTACTAGTTGTGTTCTTTGGATGATAATTATGGCTTGGTACTGGACCAATTAAAAGATCATCTGGGATGTTTCATAGTGAGATGCTACAGACTCAAAGATATTCCTTTCTTTCTTTCTTTCCTTTTTTTTTTTTTTTTTTTTTTGGACAGGCAGAGTTAGACAGTAAGAGAGACAGAGATAAAGGTCTTCCTTCCGTTGGTTCACCCCCCAAATGGCCAGCACCGCTGCGCTGATCGGAAGCCAGGAGTCAGGTGCTTCCTCCTGGTTTCCCATGTGAGTACAGGGCCCAAGCACCTGGGCCATCCTCCACTGCCTTCCCCAGCCACAGCAGAGAGCCGGACTGGAAGAGGAGCAACCGGGACTAGAACCTGGGGTACTGGCACCGCAGGCGGAGGATTAGCCTAGTGAGCCGCGGCACTGGCCAAAGATATTCCTTTCTTGACTAGCAAGGTATAGCTTTGAACATACTTTGGCTATGTAAGACTGCCTTGGATGAGCGATCTCTGTCTCTCCCTCTCTTTCTGTAACTCTGCCTTTCAAATAAATATTTTTTTAAAAAAAGAAGAAAAAGAAGACCAGGGCACTCAACCCCACATTAAACAAACAAACAGCTGCCTCTTCATATATCAGTAATTGGTCATAGGAAGGCTTTTTGTCTTCTATTTATTTTTCTTATATTACCAAGTCCAACACTAGTTTGACTCTGTCATTTCCATAGAGTGAGGTAGTGGTCTTCAAAGTATGCCAGCCAAGGAAGATATTGCACTGCTAAAACAGTGGTAGCATTCTATCACTTTCTACTCTTTCTGTGCCTCCCAATCGCCCACTAGGTCCCATATAGTCAAGCTCATGATCTCCCATTCAATTACAAATTCTCAACCAATCGCATACATAGACACAGTCCTACAATTACACCCATAATCGTACATATATACACAGATGTATTAGCAGGAATTCAATTAGCCAAGACAGCACACCCACATAGGGATTGTCAAAGAGATTTAATTACAGGAAATTGGTTACATAATGTTGAAAGACTGAAAGAACATGAAAGGTCTTAACTTCAGGAAGCAGCTAACACTCAGGGAACAAAGAGGAAGAGATGAATTTGCCAGAATGGAAGAGCTCTGAGAAATTATTTCAACTCAGCTGGCAGTCACTGGGTTTTGCAGTCCAGGGCTGGGAGATCAGCAGGAGTCTGCAGGCAAGGCATTGCCCTCCTCTGTTACTAGAGAGACACGGACAGAAATGGAAAGCAGGAAGCTAGTTCCTCCCCCCTTTTTGCTTTGCAATCTCCCTTAAATGTAGACTAAGGCAACTATAACAAAAAACCATTGACAAGTGAGTGTGGGACATGTCTTGAGTGGAATCCCAGGCCCAGCATCACAGAACAGAGAAAGGCATGCGTGGAGTTGAAAGGTGACAGGAAAGCAATCAGCATATCTTTTTAAAATTTGCTGGAAAATATAATTTTCCAGGTATAATTTTTCATCCTAGAAATTTTTCTTAACCATATTATTTCCTTACAGGGAAATTCTAAGTAAATGCCAAAAATTGGTGCAAATTTAGTAAAGATATCTTAATAGCAAAGCTTATCCTATCTAGTTAAATATGTAGTTATTCATATGTACTCGTATTTTTACTACTTTGTGATTTTTACTAAAAATATACATTTTTCTCCTCTTGATGTTATCTAATATATTTTGTAGCAAATCACTAATTGTCAGTCTTGTAAGAGCTGTACAATTGTCCTAAATGTATACCTATAACTGCAGCAGTTCACCTATTTTAAAAATTTGGACTTCTGTTCATTTCTTATTCTTATGATAAAGGCTACCTTATTGTACATTTAAAGTGTATTATAACAGTGTGGTAGTTAATAAGACACTATTTAAAAAAAAATCACTAATTGTCCCTATCAGTACACAGCTCTCAATATCACTAGGAAGTGTTAGAATTATGATAATGTGATTTTTTTGTAAACTGTTATGTATCAGCTATTGATTATTTGAAGGAGTGAGTTTTTGTCTGAACTGAAAATGAAGTAAAATTAAGAACAAAGAAACCAAGAATGGTTTATTGGTTTAGTTATTTTGATTGACCACCCATATTGTTTGCACTGAAAATTTTCCATAGCTCTGCCTATGGAGGAAGGATGGAGCATAATTTTACTTGGCATTGATTATTGAGGCATTTAAAATAAATCTATACCCTAGAATTAATGCAAATGAAGAACCACACCATACAACTCATAAATTTCAAATGCATGAAAATAAAAAACTCATGGTTAATTTCCGTGGGAGAGAATTTGCATCTAATGAATAACTTGCTTTTGGATTTATTTATTTATTTATTTATTTATTTGAAAGTCAGAGTTAGAGAGAGAAAGAGGTAAAAGTCTTCCATCCACTGGTTCACTCCCCAGATGGGCGCAACAGCCAGGGCTGAGCTGATCTGAAACCAGGAGCCAGAAGCTTCTTCCAGGTCTCCCATATGGGTGCAGGGGCCCAAGCACTTGGGCCATCCTCTGCTGCTTTCCCAGGCCATTAGCAGGGAGGTGGATTGGAAATGGAGCAGCCAGGAATCGAACTGGCTCCAATATGGGATATTGGCATCACAGGCAGTGGCTTTACCTGGTATACTACAATTCCAGCCCCAATGCATAACTTCTAAGATCCAAAAACTGTGTGATAACCCATGTAAATGTTCACATTTGTTCCTCATAATACATCAATTAATATTCTTATCTGGGGGAATTGGGATTCAGATGTGTGACAACTTATCTGAACATAAACCAATAGATATGTAAATATGCACATAAATATAAAACATGTAGTTCACAAAAAAATCTGTAAAACAACATACCTCATATATATACAGAAATATGTTCATGCCCATCATCCATGGGCCCTCTGGTCATCTGCTAGAACCATGACAGCAAAAGCCCTAAGGGAGTAAGTACATAACTGCCAGTTTCAGGTGGCCCTTGTGTGGTCCCAGACACCATGGCAGTGCCCTTTTAGGTGCAAAACTCCCAAGAGTCATCAGCCTCCTGAGAAGAGGCAACACTATTTGACTTTAGTGTATATGCCCATGAAGTACCCTTCAATGCATAGTTTATTAAGCTTCATCTTTTCTTTACTAACTTTGACCTTTTTAAAATTTTTATTTCTTTTAAAAAGATTTGCTTATTTTAAAGGCAAAGTGATGGAGAGAGAGAGAATGAATCTTCCATCTGCTAGTTCACTCCCCAAAGGGCTGTAACAGACAAGAGTGGGCCAGGCCAAAGCCAGGAGCCAAGAACTCCATCTAGGTCTGCCATGTGGGTGACAGGGACTCAAGTACTTGGCCATTGTCCCCTGCCTTCCCAGGCACATTAGCAGGAAGCTGAATCAGAAGCAGAGTAGCCAGGCCTTGAACAGGCACTCTTATAGGATGCTGGTGTCATAGGTAGCAGCTTAGCCTGCTTCCCTACAATGCTATGTGTGTTTTTTTTTTTTTTTTTTGACAGGCAGAGTGGACAGTGAGAGAGAGAGACAGAGAGAGAAAGGTCTTCCTTTTGCCGTTGGTTCACCCTCCAATGGCCACCGCTGCAGCCGGCGCACCGCGCTGATCCGATGGCAGGAGCCAGGATCCAGGTGCTTTTCCTGGTCTCCCATGGGGTGCAGGGCCCAAGCACCTGGGCCATCCTCCACTGCACTCCCTGGCCATAGCAGAGAGCTGGCCTGGAAGAGGGGCAACCGGGACAGAATCCGGCGCCCTGACCGGGACT